ATGAGGGCTATAACCAAGAAAATGCAATATTGCAGCCATGAGTTACTGGTTGCTCACCATCATCATCCATGGCTAGCAGTGGTCAGGGACCACTAAAATTATTTTCCAAATGTGACCAAGTGGTTTATTAGCACTTTTTGCTTTGTTGCACTGGCTCACAAGCTGTTCTCTGTTTGGAGTTGGTTCCCCACACCCCTTTTTTTGGTTATGCAACAAGTGTTTTGCTTGCAGCAGCACCCTCTTGTATTATCTAACGTGCTTTAAATGCCACCAGTTTCAGAGGTAAGCGGATCACTGAGTAAGTTTGTTACTCATTGCACTCCGGTTCTTATGCTTCTGTTTTTACCAGAGAAATATTGATTTTAGAAGGCAGTCATTGCTGTCTGCAACCAGTGTCTGTTTTACTCATCCAAATCTGTCAGAATTCACAATCGGAAGCCAAGCCAAGTACCGATTCCAGAAATACTTGGAGGCGATTCATGCAGCACAGTCAGACTTTTTGTTTATTTCATGCAGTTTTTAGTGCTGTGTTTCCTCTCGAATACCTCCTGAAAGCTTCTACTTCAACCAAGCACACACCTCTTTTAAAACCTATTTTCCTAAGCGAAAGATAACCTGACACCTTAGCAGCAGGTCCTCATTTGTCCTTCAACCCTAGAAGCTGTGGTAGGTGGTGTCCGTGCTCTTGTTTTGTTTTGTTAAAATTCATCACCAGTGACACGGGCTGGGTTGCTTTGTGCGAGAGTGTTTTGGTTTATGCTGCTGGCCTGCAGGAATAGGAACATCCAGTCTGCGATCAGCTGTCCCTGCAGAAGGGAAGCTTTCAGGAAACTTCTCTTTTTAAGGGAAGCTTGCCAGAAATGGATCAGGATCAGGAGAGATTTATTTCGAGGGTAAAGGCAACAGGAGGGGTTCCAGGTGTGCAGAACATTCAGCTGCCCCTCTGCCCTTCTACCAGACCTGAAAGATTGGGCTCTGGAGTTGGAGCTGGGTTTGGTTGATGTGGAGCAGTTAACGAGGTTGATGTGACACCACGTGAGAGCAGTTTTTCTGAGAAGCTGCTTGGCATGAACAAGGCACATTTACAGAACACTGCAGGTAAAAACCTGTTGGTGTAAATATAATAAATGGCCTGACAAACTCCCGAGTGTAACCCTGCGGGTCCCAGGGCCGTAGCACTCTGTTTCCAGCCCGGCCTCTACCGAGCCAGAGAAGGGAATGGTGACAAAGCATCGCTGCAGGAGAGAAACCACCATCCCTGCCAGTGGTTTGGCGTGCTGTGTCACACGAGCTCACAGGTTGATTAAGAAGGATTGCTCGGGCTCTACTCTTCAGCCTTCCCTGCCACCGATGCAGAATGTATAGGCCCCATAGGTATTGGTCTTAACCTTTCAACAGCATCTGCAAAAACTTTCCCTTCTGGCCAGCTCCACCCTTAAATTGCAGCTGTTTGCTCTCGTTTTCCTTTAGTTCTCTCATATTTTGACCCACAGTCAGTTGTTTGGTTGTCTTGTCATTTTTGTTGTTGTTTTGCTTTGTTCGTTTGTTTGTGACCTTGCCTGGAGTTATTCCTTCCCTGTTAACCCCCTTAGGGTTTGTATTTCAGCCTCACAGCCTGAGCAGTAACACCAGCACGCCAGCCTTCCTTCGTCATTACTGAGGAGACACCAAGAAGAGGCAGGGAGCTGGTTTTCACTCATGGTGTTTTACAGAGTGCATCCAAGGCCCGTACAGCTTCACACTCCGAGCACATACACTTCCCAAGGGAAATGCTGCCCTGAAGCAGGATGCTGGGCTACAGCCCTCCTGTCCTGTGAGCCAAACGTGAAGGAAGCAACGGTGGCAATCCACCTCCTCCTTCAGGGACTCATCTAGTAGGGTTGTTTTTTGAAGAATGCACCACAGGGCCTCCTTAAGGCGTTTACCTAACACCAAACCCTGGTCTGCCTGTTACTCATTAACCAACTTTTTCAGTAGCTGTATCTCCCACTCAGAGCTGGTAACACCTGAGGCCATATCATTTTACTTGTCACTCTAATAATTTACCTTTCTTGGATAAATATTCCATTGGATTTTTTTTTTTCCTAAGCCTCTCCCTAAAGACATATTGTAGAGTTTCAGTAAATTTACCTGCTTTGTATCTGGGACAGCGTAGGGCAAGGCAGAGAAACTGGTGTCTACTCTAACAAGTTGTCATTTTGTTTTTGTATTTTAAAGTTCACAGAACCGAGCATTTCAGACATTCTCCAAGAATGTTAGTCTGTTTTTGAGGACTCACGAACATCTTTGCTCAAAGGGTTGCTAATTGTGTAATAAACTAGATGGCATTATTTTCTAAAACCACCCCACTACTAGGGAAGGTGTGGGGAGATGGAGGTCAGCCTCTTCTCACAGGGAACTGGTGACAGGACCAGAGGGAATGGCCTCGAGTTGTGCCAGGGGAGGTTCAGGCTGGCAATGAGGAGCCATTTCTGCTCAGAAAGAGCAGTCAGGCACTGGGACGGGTTGCCCAGGGAGGTGGTGGAGTCCCCGTCCCTGGGGGTGTTCAGGGACAGGTTGGATGTGGTGCTTGAGGACATGGGTTAGTGGTGGCATTGGTGGCAGGGGGTGGTTGGACCAGGTGATCTCGGAGGGCTTTTTCAATCTTAATGATTCTGTGATCCTTACAAGCACACTGCAGATTTGGATGCCATGAGTGAACTACGAGGTGGGTGGAAAAATCAGCTGGACTGTGGGGCTCAGGGGGAGGAGGTTCAACTGGGGGCTGTTAGGAGCAGTGTGCGGCTCTGACAGAAGCCCCGCTGCGTTGGACAAAGACAAAGGCAGGGGCCTACAGCAGGGGAGAGGCATAACCCCCAAGTCATTGACCAGGCCGGGTGCCATCTGGCAAAAGGCAGCCTTGCAGGACAAACGGTGGGCAAGCTCAACATGAGGCGGTAACAGGCCCCTGCAGTGCTGAAAGTCAGCCCCACGCCGGGCCACATCAGCAAGAATGCGGGCAGGGGTCTGAGGAACCAAGCATCCCCTTCTGTCCTGGCTCTTGTGAGGCTGCATCTGCAGAGCTGCCTCCAGCTTCAGCCTCCACAGCACAAAATGCAGTACGAGTGCCGAGGTGAGTCCAGTGCAGCGCTACCGAGCTGGTTAGGAGCTGGAGCATGCGATGGAGATGCTGAAAAAATGATTTGTTCAGCTCTAAGGTAAGGTTAAGAGGGGGAGAGTTCGAACTGCTCTATTCAGCTGCATAACGGGTGAGTGCCACGATGGAGCCAGACTCTTCGTGATGGTGCACAACAAAAAAAGCAATAGGCGTAAGGTATAGCAATGAGAATTAAACACAAGGGAGAAAAAAAAAAAAAAAAAAAAAAAAAAAAAAAGGGCCTTTGCAACATAGACAAACAACAGAAGAGGGACCAATAGGTGTTGTAGAATCATCTCAGAGACTGTAAGAACTTCATAAAGAGGTGAGCAACTTGATCTCAGCTTTGAAGTTAGCCCCAGGTATTTTGATTTTTGTTCGTTTGTTGGGGAGCTGGAGGAAGGGGGAAGGAGGTGTCCCAGCGATCTCCAGCGGGACATTTCAACCTAAATTATTCTGTCACTCTATACAATAATACAATAAATAAAATTATCGAATAAGTAAAAGGATTCTGGCTGTTGAGATTATCAATAGCCAGAAATTTGGTGTTTCTGCTATTAAGCACTTTCCTCTATAAATGTAGTGTCGTCTGGTGAGGCATTCACTGGGATCTTGGAAGCCCTTGAGGAAGAGCAGAGGAAAACACTACACACAGTGGAAGGGTAGAGCAGAGCTTTTCCAGAGCATCTACAGGAGCAGCACAGCCCATTCACTGCAGCTCCCCCTGTGCTTGCTGGTGAGAAGAAGCAGCAGCAGGTGAAGCACCCAGCATTAACAAGCCCCCTTCTTATTGCTCCTGTCTCATCTCACAGCCCTAGACTTCTATCTTCTACAGCCTGATTTGGAAAAACATGTCCATCGATTCAGTTCCTCAGTGAGCCAAATACTTCTGCAACCAGCTTCACATCTGACCTGCAGTCCCTGTTCCTCTTCGTTAAATCTTTTAAGATTCTTGGTAGTCTATCTAGTCCTTTGCAGTTAGGTAGAAGGTTTAAGTTATTAGTCATATTTTGTAAAATGCTCGCCTTCTGTTACAGCAGATATTAAATCTTTTAACCAAATTTAGTTTTAAATAACCAAGACACTTTAAACACACAAAAATAGATGTAAGCCTTGCAGTTGTGATTGAAATTAATTAGCACTGTTGCTATACTGGAACCAGGAAACTTTCAGATGTTTTATCAAATACTGTTTTTTTGGTCACCAGAAATTTAATTCCTCATACAATAGTCCATGTGAGCTTCTCAGATATTATCCTAAATTATCACACGTTTAGAACCCTCATTTAGCAGATAATATCACATGAACTGTGGCTAATAAATCCCCTACACGACACATTATCTTTTCAAGGAAACAAATTGTGCTTTCTTAACAGTGAAATTAATTTTAAAAATACATACATTCCTAGTAATAAATCAAACTGAGGTTTGTTCTTAGTGATTTTTGGAACTGTTCCTCATAGAAACACACTTCAGCTGTCGTTCCTGTGTGTTTGTGCTTAGAAGTTCAGCCTTCCGCATGCGTTTCATGCTGGTTATCTTTGTTGACCACTGAAGGAGAAACTTTGCCAAACGCTGTTTCCCTGCCCCAGACACTGACCTTTACCTTACCTTTCTCTCCAGATCATCAGTTGTTCCTTCCTGTCAAGTCAATCATCTTCTTATGTTCTCATTTTCAATAGAAGATTTTCTGTCATTATTTCTCCCCTGCTGGCCGGCTCAGACACTTGTTTGTACCCCTCTGCACCTCAAACTACTCTTTCTCCCATTGGTCTTCTTTAGGGGGGAGAAACAGCAAACAAACCCAACTTTGCTAGTTCAAAATCTTCTGAAAGGGAGTAGAAAAGTAAAATGCAGGAATGGGTTGGGTAACCATGAACTGTGTCTTTTTTTTAGTGGGACATTTTGCTTCATCATCTTTCTCCTGACAGTGGGTAGCACAGTAGAAAGGGTACCTGATGTCTCGTCCCTGTTTGCACGGACTGTGCTGCAAAGCGAAGTAAAAATGTTTAAATCTTTCTCCCTCATAGCTGCTACTCATTACTTTTGCAGGCAGGAGGGGGACTTTTCTGTGGGATCTTGTAAAACCCCGTTGGAAACGGAGCGCGCCTGGGATGCCGCGGTTACCTGCGCTGAGGGGTTCGCCTTCTGCGGCACCCTTTCCCTTCCTCCTGACAAACATCTCGCAGAGCTGCACCGCAGCTCGCCAAGCGCGGCAGACAGGCGACAGACCCGATTTCCCGCAGTTTTGCCCTGTAATTTTGGGCTGTTGTCGCCAGCGGGCCGCCGCTTTCAGCCCTCCGCCCTGAGGCGGCGCCGTTCTCCCGCCTTCCCCGCGGCTGACGGAACCCGCCCGGGGGCCCCGGCGGCGGGCAACAGAGCTGAAAAACCCCAAAGGTGGCGGCTGGGCGGCTTCGTTCTCGAAGCTTCTCCCCGTCAGGGCCAACGGTTGTAACGGGCGGCGGCTGCGAGGCCTCCCCTGGCAACGGCGAGATGGCGGCGGGCGAGCAGGGGGGCCGCGACTACCTGGAGCGCCACAGGATCCCCGAGCTGCTCCGCCGCCTCAGCGCCCTGCTGCTCTACCACCAGCCCGGTGCGGCTCCCCCGCGGGGCCAGGGTGGGATTTGGGGGGAGAAAAAGGAGATTTGGGGTCTTTAAGGTGGTGGCTGCTGGGAGAGATGCACCCGGGGACCGGGCGGGGGTGCTGAGGGAGAGGAGGTGGCAGGAGCAGGGTGAGGGTGGGGTGGTGCTGGTGACTTGGTACCTTTGGAGAAAGACCTCGGTGGCTTGGTTCCCTTGAAGACAAAGACCTCGGTGGCTTGGTTCCATTGCAGAAAGACCTCGCCAGTTCCTCATCCAGGTGCTGGAAACAGTGAAGGCCGGCAGGCAAGGCGAGGGGACGTACCCGTGCCTGATGGACGAGTCCAACCTGGTCGCCATGTTCCAGATGCTGGATGTGGCAGACCTGGGCTTCCTCACGCCCGCGCAGTACCGAGAAGGTCAGTCCAACCCGGACGGCAGTCAGCACGCTCCCCTCTGTTTAAACAGTTTTGTTAAAACAGTTTCAAAAGCATTGTATTAAAACAGCTTCAACCCTATCTGTATGTATGTAAAAGCATCAGTACATCTGACCACACAACATGGACCTTGGAAAGTTAAAAATGGTCACATATGTTTGTTTTGTTTTTTGTTTATTATATCTAGGCCACTTTCAGGTGTTAAATTATTTTTTTTTCAGATTTATATAGGAAATTCTGTTTCCTTACCTTTAGCTCTTAAAACCTTGGGACTGAGCACAGACAACCTGCATGTTGGTGATGATGAGAACGTCACACTTGACACGTTCAAGGAAGAAGTGTAAGTATAATGGAAAGGGTATGTGCAGAGTTGCTATGCACAGATCTTTTGCTGTGGCTTATGGTTTATTTACAAAAGCACGTCATTAAAAGACTTACTGGTGGTTTAAGCTTACCCGCTGTGCACTGAAAGATTTAAACAGGCACTATTGCTCTAGCCTGATGGGTTTGCTCAGCACTTTCCTCAGCCATCTCACATTAGGACCCACACAAAGCCAGCCTGTCAGATTTCCTTCCCTACAAGCAGCTATCAACTAGCCCCGGACTGAGAGCACTGGTCCAGAAACGTCCAATACTTGAGCTCCATTGTTGTTTCTGCCTGATGTAGCAGAGGTAATAACACAGATGAAACAAGCTTAGAATTTCTCATTAATTTTTCATCGTTACAGTACGGTTATAGGGAGGATATTTTGGTAACTGTGACAATCACTGAAAGAAAACTAAAACTAGTTATCCTGACTTATCTAACTGGGCATTATTTTATTTTTTTCCAGGAAGAAAAGGTTGCTGGAGATCTGGGCTGTTTATTAGATGGAACAGTGGCATGCTTTATATATTAAAAATAGGCATTTTGCTCCATTCTTTCGCTGCTGTGTCAGCTGTGAACAACTGATTTTAAACAGTGCTCTCTTCTCTTTTTTTTCTCCTCTCTTCCCTGTAGTAGCAATCAGCTGAAAAGGACAAATGACAAAAAATTGTTTACCTTTACCAGACACGTGAAAGGTATCTTTTGAGAACTGCCTTTCTTAGTAAGATTATCTTGTTAAAAATAAGTAGAAACCTCTTTAAAAAGAAAAAAGCATCGTAGAGTCTCCTCCTTCAGCTAGTAGCTTACTTTGTTAATCATTGGTAATGAGACAGCAAATAAAGTTAATTTTAAAAGTTGTGACTTAAGACTTTTTTTAAACCTCTTTTTATATATATAAAAAAAACAGTTTCAGGAAGAAGTGTTCATGGTTGAAAGATAGCAGTGCCAAGTAACATAGCATTTATTAAGTTTTAAAATAGGCTCAAAAACAAAAGAGGTCTTATTAAAAAAAATGGGAGACTTTGGGACGGAAGAAAAAAGAATATAAACACAGGAAACAAATTGACAAATTCCTTCATTCCATCCCAGGTCCTGCATAGGCATATTTTAGATACAGAACACCCAATACCTGGGATTTAGAGATGTAAAAACGTGTTTAAGTGAGAGTGTCATAGTCATTAGTAATGAAGACTGTTAGCTTTTAAATGTAATGACCAAGTGGTTACGTTGAAGTAAGACCTGTGCAGTTAGAAGCCAAGTCAGTAACGTTTTCAAAAAATTTTAGAGTATATACAATAAATGGTAAAGATTAGATCAAACCAATTATACAGCATACAGTGTTGAAAAAAAATAACACAACTATGTTGTAACTTATTTGCTTTGCTTTTGTTTGAAGTAAGTAATCTAGATCAAGTTATTAACCAATTTTGAAGTCTTTATTTTCCTGTATTTGGCCAAATAGCTCTCAAATTGAGAAGAATCTCAACATCCCGTTGAGCTAATTTGTAAACGCCAAGTTCATTTAATGCTGCTGTTGCTGATGGCTGGTTTGGCTTCAGTGACGATTCATTTTCTGAGGCTGACTGTAGTACATCCTTCAGCAGCAAGGCAGAGCCAACATTCAGGTTCAGGATAATGCAGGCTTCTTTTATGCTATGGGAGGGAAAAAAAGTTGTATGAATTAGTAAAAGACTCACCCATAAGATACACTTAATTTTGTATGCACAGTGACTAAGAAGAAGGCTTCCAAGGATTTCTGAAAAGGATCTAAGTACTGAACTGAAAAGTGCTGCCTAGCATACTTGGTCTTGCTCTCTTAGCACTTTGTGTTACAAGCACCAATATTTGCCATGCTTGGCTTGACTTTTACTTCTTAATTTTTCCACTAGTTTAAATAATACAGAAGAGAAGTTACCATATAATTACCTGTCTAGCCTTCCCAAGCTAGGCTTCTAATTATCAACAGAAAACATTATTTGGTATATTTTAAAAACACACCTTTACAGAAAGCTGCTAGAGTTTGAACATTTTCTCTTAATAATCTCATTAGAGAGCAAACAGATACCCCGCCACATTGTTTCTAGTACAATAGCCACGTACCCACTACACATTACTTTTTACTGTTCCTTTCCGCATCTTTTTTTAAGCTATGAATACTACATAGGTATCGATTACCTTTGTAAAGGTAATGTGCTCAAAAAAAGTAAGATGCTGCTACAAGAACATTCCAATTAAAAATGCCAATATATAACCTTCATCTTCAAGTGTTCAAGACTTCATGCCACGTTCCATATTGATCTTTAGATGTGTAGTAAGATTTCTGTCCCAATTAGCACAGGAGTTTAGCATTGGACTCTGTATAAGACTGTCAGCTATTTAAAAAGACTAACCAAAAACAAGGTTGCTTCTCACCGGCGAAAGCAACTGGACTGCTACGCAGGGCAATTCTAAGCAGGAACATAGTTTAAAGTAGCCTAAAGATAAAGAAAATTTGTTGTGCTGTAACTAAATCTTTGAGTAGTTTCTTTTGCCCCACTTTTTGAATTCTGCTTACATTCCCTAAGTTCATCTATCTGCGTGCAGCAGACATCCTCGCTGTGCTAAACACTCCAGAACATACATCACAGTTGCTATCTGAAAACGTGCTGCAGAATCAAAACTTGCCCTGTTGTAAACACGGAAAGATGATCCACATAGTTCAAGTATTTCTTACCCACTCAAAACTGTGAAAAAATGTTGGTGATGCACAAAACATTCATCTGGATGTTCTGTTCTGAAACACTAATGGATCAGAAGTTTGCCTACTTACTGCTTGAAGTAGTTTTCTGGCCTCTTACAGTAGTGTGAAAATAAAGGGAAGAGATTTCTACTCATGTCAAACTGAAGTTGTGCTGCTCCTCCTTCATTGAAGTGATTCGCCATGATTATCTGCAAACACAGAGGGGGGGGATCTTCTGTTTAGGCCAGTCATCAACACCTGCACAGTACTGCATACACTTCATAGATACCTACCTCCTGATAGATGAATGTATCCACTTTCTCTGCGAGCATTTGCCAGAATATTTTGAATAGTGAGTGACAGAGCTGCTGTTCCAGTTGGAGCAGGCGGTCTCTTAGGGTCAACAACATCGGGCAAGCTGTGCTCGACAGAGACATTACTGCTTGCTCTGCTTGAGACGGTAAAGATAGCCACCTGAAAGAAATTTCACTATTATGACTTCGATGTGATAAGTATTCATATTACAATAACTGAAATTGAAATTATCCTGTAAGAAAATCTTAGCCAGTTACAATGGTTCAGAGTTGCCTCCTCTCCCATTTCAAACCTAAAGGTAATCATAGTCTAATGCTTTATTTAGATGTCCTTTAATGTTAAGCTGATGCTTTAGTTATAAATCTGAACATGTTTTTTTTCTAAAAAAAAAAAAAAAAAAAAAAAAAAAGCTAATCTATAAAATCATCAAGCTGTTGTGTTAATTTTGAAGTGCTTCAGAAACTCAACCACAAAAATTCAAGAAACCCTGTGATTCTGTGAGGACAGAAGCAGTAGTTACAGGCCATTTTTAATACTACTTGGAAGAAAGTAACTCTTATCTGAACTAGAGTGACCCAGCATTCTTCCTAGGGTTTTCAAGACAACATGCCCGCTCACTGCAGAACTACTTTAGAAAGCGTAACATCAAAACTGGCTTGACGTAAGGATAAAGAAAAAATTCCAATACTTACTACTCCGTGCCTTTCCTATCCAGGAAACCGATTTCTCTTATTAGCTATTCTTGCCTTTATTTACCTCAATGTTTTTAAACAGAAAATAATTTGGAATATGAGAAGAGAGCAAACAGAATCACCTCTCTTTTTTGTACAGCTTTGCAGCATCTGTGACCTCTTTGAAGACATGATGTACTTGACGACTCAACATATCTTGTTTCAGGCGCTCCAGGAGGTTAATCATCTCATCAAAGACAGAGCTCTCCATTGAAGCCAGCTGCCCCAGCTGTAGCTGGCTGACAGTGCTACTTTCTGCACAAACCTCCAGTTCAGCCTGCTGTAGCTGCAGGAAGAACTAGGGGAACAGAAGCAGACGTAAGTACTAGCAAAAATCATCTTATGATTTGAACTTTGCATTTGTCCTTTAACAGACAGGGTTCTACAAAACATGCTCCTGACACGTTTATAAACAAAGTCTTGAAACTTAAAACATCGTCCTGATTCAATTAAAACTGTTTTAATCCTAGTAATGCAACTGATGTGGGTCCCAAACACAACAGCAGATAGGTAATGGCATGTTTGCTGGTCTGACAATAGCAAGTGGACTGAGTTGAATGTGACACAGCGGTAATGAAGTTGGTTTTGCTTTTAAGCACGTCAAGACACTTTTGTAGATGCAGCTGTACAACACAAAAGCTGCTCTCCTATCAAGTCAAGATTATCCTCTGCTACAGACAGTTTCCTGTCAAGACAAAAACAATTTGGAAGCTTCCCATCTCCCACAAAATGCTTATTTCTGCAATAACCACAGAAAAAGTTGACTTACTACAGAATAGCTATGGTGCCACTGGGCTATTACAGAAAATAACTGTACCCAACACCCTGTTATCAAAGAGTGACTTTTCCAGACACCACCTGAACCAAGCTGTAATGCAGGCACCCACGCCAAATCCATTTAAACTAGCTCAGCATAGGGATAATTCAAGAAGCGTGCACATTCTACTACAACACATGCACTTCAGCAGCAATACTATTAGTACTATTAGTTCTATTTTTTCCATAATTAATTCTACTGAATACATTTACATAAATAGTGCTGAAAATGTAATATTTGATTATGAAACAAACAGAACTAATTTATTTAAAAAAAATTTACTTACTACATTGTCAGCCCAGTCTGCCAGCACTGTTGCGATATAGTTAACGGCGTTAAGGATCGCACAGTATCGGAAGCCTAAAGAAGCTCTGCTCTCTTCCTTCATTACTTGAGTTAATCGTATCCTGAAATCATCAACTAGCTCCTTCTGTAGCCCCAGGAACTGCAGTTTTCTGGAAGCTGTTGGAAGGTTCTTATACCTGTCTAGAAAGACATTATCAAAATATTTAATGTTTCCCAGCACTGAAGAAAAGGTTTTGAACACGAAGCATTGTGGTCATCTTTTTACATGATGTTACTCCTACAAAGACATCATACAGTATTTAATTTTTAAAAAGCTGACTTATTTTTAGCAACCTCAAGAAACTACTCAATGCAAAAGCTAAATATGTGAAGAAACAACATATCTGAGGTTCCCCTCCCCCTCACGATTCCACTAGCATATTGCATCCTAATACTTTAGGAAATACGTTATCATACCACACCACCTAGCAATATCACATGGCCCCTAAAGCCAGTCACAGTGTAGGATAAAGCCCTTCAATACACAAATAAGCACCTCCTGAAAAGGTACATCCCACAGATTCAAGAGGAACAGTAGGATATTTTTCTTATTGGATTGTAACAAATCATATTCTCTCCATAATTAATGGGTTTGAATGTGGTAAGTTGCAAATTATCAAATTTTAAAAATGCATTTGAAAGTACGTCACTACTAGCTCAAGATTATTTGTGCTAGATAATTTCCTGCTCATCTTATATTTTGGACAACTTTTATTAAATTGCGAGTATCACAACTTTGCAAAGTTGTTATTTGCTGACTACTGTTGACACAATAGATATTTAATAAATAATATCTGCAGTTTTTCTACTAGTCATTACGAACAAGAGCAATGTCCACAGATTGGCAGTTACCTGTTATAACTAACAACAGAGTCATAAAAGTTTCAGCGCAGTCTGGGACTTTCATTTCATCTACGTCGGTGATATCTTTGTATTGCGATATCCACGCAGCCTCGGATGAAAGCATGGAGTCCATTTTCTGAAGAGCAACTGAGCACAGAAATTGTAAATTATTTTAGTATTTAATAATGAAAAAAATTTTTAACAACAACAAAAAAACCAACCCTAAAAACAAACAATATATAAAAATTAAATCTTTATCCCTAGTGAGTTAAAATTTACGTTTTCAGACCATAAAAAAATAGTGATGACTGGCTTCATGCAGAACCAATTCCAATAACAGCATCACAAAGGCAGGTATAAGAATTCTGTCGAAGCTTTTTTTTTTTTTTTTTAATAGTTGGCTTGTTCCGTTCCAATGTATTTCTTCTGGTTTTCAAAAATTAACACCCTCTCTCCATTTCAATTTAAAGTCTATCCTTGTCTGCACACTTAAATACACCTCTGTCTAAAAATAAGCAGTCTAGATCCCATACAGCTCAGGGACAACAGTCCTATAAACTTCAGAAGCACTATTAGAGCCAAACCATTTTTTAGTCAAAATAAGTGCAGAGTATAAAAATATCACAGAATCACAGACCAGCTTAAAAAACAGGGCTGGACGCAGCATTAACCCCTGGGGCACTCCTCTCATTACTGACCTCAAAAAAACATCTTTTAGCGTAGCCCAGTCCAAGTGACTTATCCTGTTTGAGAAGACTATTTGTATTCTGCACAATCAGAAAGAAAACGTGTCAAGGCCAACAAAATCCATCACAAGTCTTACATTTTTTTTCCACTGTTAGCCACCTCTGGAAGCAGGACTCTTCTGAGAGAATATGCATGCAACTGGGAAGGGTGCTGAGGTAGCCATGAACGCTGTAGAGCTCTCTCTCAAACTGAAGTACCTCATCCACAAGGTGACAAAAGAGGGCATCATCGTATAACAGGAACGGAATATCAGCAGCAAGCTTCTCCAAGATCAGCATTACCAGAGCACGAGAGAATTCAAGCTTTTAAGAGAAGAAAGTGAGTAAAGTATCAGAGATATGGACAAACATACAGAATCACAGAATTTCTAGGTTGGAAGAGACCTCAAGATCATCGAGTCCAACCTTTAACCTAACACTAACAGTCCCCACTAAACCATATCCCTAAGCTCTACATCTAAACGTCTTTTAAAGACTTCCAGGGATGGTGACTCCACCACCTCCCTGGGCAGCCTGTTCATGTATGATCTTAAAACTGTTACTAGACTCAGTTAAGTCTCACCATGAGTTTAACGAAATCAGCAGAAGAATGCTTGTACAAATTGACTGTATAAATGCTTACATATAAAACACACAAAGTGCTTACCCCAGCATTCACTGAAGATCCTGCCTTGTCCAGTATCGGCTGGATTTTGTCATCAAGGAACTTGGAGTGATTTCCAATCCACATAAGCACTTGTGTTAAATACCATTCAGGCTTATTTAAAAAAAAAAAAAAAAAAAAAAGAATGAATCCCCTAACATACATAATACTATTAAAAATGCATTATATTAGCAATCGTAAGAGAGTGAGTGTATTTACATTTACTCAAGACTGTCAACACAAACAGAGACTTGTGCAACTACAATATTAGAAAACAGCTCTCCAAGTCTGCTGTAGATGCATTACAGCAACATTAACATTTACCTGTAGGAAACCTGCTTCAGTGACAATTCTCAGATAAAATACTCAAGTCTCTGAAGATAACTCATTACAAAAGCAGGTCAGTTTCCAACTGGCGAGGTGGACATCTCTCTGGCCCAGAGAAAATGTTTATGTCTCTGGAAGATCTCCACGTGTTACCTTGGCATCTGTCCCCACTAAGGGACACACAACTACTGCACAATTTAAGAATCCTAATTTCAGAGAAGAAAGTGTCCAAGCGACACAATTTAAATACAGTAATGTATCTGTTGATTAGAAAAATAAATAAATAAATCATACTGCTTTCTTCCATACCTTGTTTAAGACATTGGTTGGTTTATTTCCAGTGAAATGATACTTGAATCTTTTCTGCAGAGGATTCAGCATGATCTGGATTGGAAGGATAATGGGTGGTGATGGGGGTAAGGAATACTTTTCTGGAAGCTGTTTAGGTTTGGTTAACAATTCATCGCTAAGTTTGACAGTCAAGGACAAATTTAAGTGTTGATTCCTCCAATGGTAAAATTTCAATCAAGTGGCTTTACAGGAGTGAACACTTTAGCTCTACCTTGTTGGCTAAAGGCAGTATTACACAAGGCATACAAGTCCTCAAATACAAACAACACTCAAAATGCTTCCATTTTATAAGTTATGTTAAATAACTCTGGCTGCTAACGATAATTTGTTCAGTGACAGTACAAGTCACTGAAGTCAGTCTGATTTAGGAAACCAGAATCATTTAAAAAAAGAAAAAGGGAAGAAAAAACACCATCATCAATACCAAACCCAAGGGCTATCCAAGAGACATGCATATTCACGTTTCCTAAAGAAGTATCAGACTCACAAGATTAATAAACGCTATTCATGATTTTCAACTTTGAAGCAACTGATTTAAGTGGCCCAGTCTCTGATAAAATTGTTACTGGCTCCAGGTTGCCCTGAATGACCTTGTTTCTTCCCGGTCCAGTCCTGCTGATTTAAACATCAACAAAAAAGCTACAACCACTCCAGGAAAAAAAATGAGTAAAAATGGTTGTTTGAACTTCAGCTGTGCTTGATTTCACCCACAAACAAAAGGAACAAGATGAGTAGCAGTGCCTTCTGACTTACCTCAGAGGCAAGTTACTATTTCTGCTCAGTGAAAATTGTTCCATTTTTTAAAATTCCCTTCCAAAACAAACATCTTGAGTTTTCTCTCTCTTCTTTCTGGGACTGCATATATTAAAGTGATTAACACAGATTTCAAGTAACGCTAGGAAAGTAGAAGCATTAACTATGTCTAATTAAAAAAAAAATAAAAGCATCATCATTTGTATTAATATAGGTAATCTTGCTGAAAGTATAGAACGTAAGGTGTGCACATCATGAAGCCTGAACTGCAAGTTACCAAGAGATCACTGGATCTGATGACTTGGAGTTATGATCCTGCTACTGCTAAAAAGAGGAACTTGAATTTTAATTGAAAACGAGTTTTAAATTCTTGCTCTGGCCACCTAGCATTATCTATATGTAAAGTACCTTATAATGTTAATACAAAGTAACATAAATTCGATTTCATTTTTGACTTTCGAGAGCTCTGAAATCTATTATCCTTACGAAAACACACCACAACTATTTAAAAGGATACGAGGTTTGCAATTTCAGAAGCTGACAGAACAACGTCTCCAAATTGTTGTATATGTCAGGAGCATTGGCTGGAGCAGCAAGGCCAAATGCCTGAGACTGTGGTGGCCCCACAAATGGCCAGCGAAGCTGGGTCAGCACCTCTTCAAAGTCACTGCAACATAAAATATGTACTTTAGCACAAACCTACAGTACAACACAAAGGCGAGGCAGTGACAGTGCATCCCTTACCTTGACAACTTGTCCTTAAGAATTTTATGCCAGAATTTAACAGTGGATCTCACAAAAGCAAGAAGATGAGAACAAGATGACTCCTGAAGTTTAATATCCAGTTCTGCCATAAAAGCGAGAGTACTGGCTGCCTCTGGAACATTGTTGGTCATCAGATACTGCTGAATGTTATCACTATAAAATTCAAGAAAAGTTGAGGTCAGACATTCACTAAGAATCATTTGTGCATCGAAAAATTGAGATAAAACTTAATCTAAAATATTTTAATGAGACAAACATGGTTACCACTCTCATCATGTATATGCAGTGCTAAGCCCTGAAAAGGCTGTGTGATAACATTAGTGAGAATACTCTTAAAGTATATAAGATTTTAAAGTATACCAACTTTACCTTAACTCTTCTATTCGTGAAATCCACTTAAGATAGGACAGGTGCCGTTCGATCTCCTCTACTTGACTAATCAGCACACCAAGCTCCTCCATCCATGGCTCAGCTTTCAGTAAGTGGCTATCAATTGCATCAGATAGAAGAGCTTCTTCCTCTAGAAGCCGATTCAGGGATTTTTTAGAATCTTCTGCATTCTTCAACGCCTTCTGAATTCTTTTAGGGACTTCAGATGAAACTGTAAGTACCTACAGTTACAGAGAAGTATTGAAACTCACATAAAAATATTGTGTTATATAGAGTGGTATCTTGAAATTTCAATACTTTACTTCAATTTAGTTAAATCTTATTTTACTACTTAATCAATCATAAGGCACATTCAGTATATTAATAAAAGGGAAGGTGCTTACCTGTTCTTCTAACTGCTTTTTATTTTCAGATAGTTTATCGATAAGGCTGCCCAGCTTCCTCAGAGAATCGTAGTCGTTTCCAACTTCTCTTTCCACAAATTCAGAAACATAGTATGGGATATCACAATGGTCTAGATCTCTCGTGACTTCTTTCTTTGTAACGTTTACAGTTGCCATGTCTTCTTTATCTGCAATACTAATCATATAACTTCAGTTACTCACCGCTATGACAGCACTACCAGCTAGAAACCTCCCGAGGATACAAAACTCAACGAAGAGCAGGGCAGTTCAACTCAAATAAGACATTTAATAATGATCCTGCATTACGTGAGACGAGATGTTAGCTTAAGTCTTAGCTGAGAAATCTTGCTTACATGCGTTCCTCTGGTGGTTTGTTATATATTAACTAATGAAGTGGGACATGAGTGCGACTGGAAAAGTCCCAGAAGCATGACTTAATAATTATTGCAAATAGTTCGGCATGTAGGTAGTTTATACTTAGGCAAGTTAGAAAACATGGAAACATACCAAAAAATAAATAAATAATAATTTTGTGAAGTAGAAAGAGAAACCACAATCCCCCTCTTTACCTGTTCACACACAGAAGCATCAAGTGCTGAGGGATTTATAACTGGCCAAGGCTTCACTCTGGTCTGACGTTACCAATCATCACTTCTTCTGCCAGAGCGACGGGGTTGGGGGGACACCCGTGAGGAAGCCCCGGCAGAGCCCAACAGAGGAGCACGGCATCGCCTCGAGGACCTCCACAAGGCCCTGGGCGACCCCACAGCGCAGCCCCACAGCCGGGGAGCCCCGGCCCGGCCCCACAGCCGAGGTGCGGGCACCGGGTGACCGCCACCACTGGGTTCCCGCCGCCGGTCCCGGGGCCCTCAGCGCCCCCCGTCCCACTCAGCCCCTGTGAGGGAGCCGCGGCCGCGCGCCCCTCCCCGCCCCTGCCGCGTCAGCGCGTCGCTGCGCAGCTCCAGGGCGCACTGCGCACGCGCGGCCGCTCCCGCCCCGCCGCCGCCTGAGGGAAGGGGCGGGAAGGGGAAGGGGCCGCCCCTGTGAGCCCTGTCAGGGTACGCAGCGAGGTGCCTCAGTGCGTTTATTCCCACTTTTATTCCCGCTACCTGTTCTCGGTGCAGTTATGGGAAAGCAGGAAAATAGGCACAAATGTTTTCTCAAGGAGGTTAAAGCAGCTCTACCCCGTTACAGCCTTGCTGACAGAATCCTCGACCGCAGCAGCACAAGCTTCTTTGAAGATAATATTAACATCTCTGTTCAGTTTCCTGATCTGTAATTTAATAGATCTTCAGAATTCGCGGAAACATTCACTGCTCACCGAAAAAAAAGCAAGCTAAACGTTCTTCCAAGTCTGAAATTATTATAAGCCCGCTTCTTACAGATGCAGCCGTGTTAAAGCTCAAGCAATGCCTTTATTCGTTCGTTTAAAAGCACCAGTCACTAAAACCTGTAATTATATTACAACCACCATCTTGTAAATGACTACTGAAGTTAAATGCTTGCACTAATAAAAACTTAAAAAAATACAAATCTCTTACTAGCAATCTTTAAGATTTGTACAGAACATGTAAATAGGAAAACACTTTATACATGTTAAAAGCTAAGACATTTTAGCAGCCCATTCAGCGTAACCAGGTGGTGTTCAGTTGTGTCTGGTTTTTTATGCTCGTGTCCATCTTCAGAACTTCTCGAATCGCCATAGTAGCGTAGGTGGATGGGGGAAGGGAGAACTCCATCTTCAGTGCCCTGAACTTACCATCTGTTGTGAGAGGAGACACAAAGCAAAAAAAAGTTAAGAGCGTAAGTAAAGCTTATTCTGGATGTCATCTGAAGTAGACCCAAGTTTTCCACCAACCCCTAAATCCATAGAACTGCCATTACCACCACACTCAAATATGCAAGCCACAGTGTAACATAGAATTTCATAAAAAATAACTTTAAATAAAGTTTTCTCACAGCAGAAAGTGATGTCTTAAGTAGTTATTGGTAATGACAGTGATGTTTGTTAAGAATGGGGTTTTCCTCGGTTTGTGTGGGTGTTTGTGTTGCTTTAAAAAACAAACAACCACCACTAGGCTTTTGTTCCTTCAAGATTAAATTCCTAGCCCCTCTTCCTTTCTCCCCCCCCTTCATCCACCTCCCAGAAAGTAGTGCCAAAAGACTTTGTGACCAAATTTATTTTAAAAATTTAAAGATCAGCAAGAACACTAACTTACCTGTAGGAAGAACTGGTAATGGTTTTCCTTCCAACTTATCCAAATCCGTAGTAAATAATGGGATTTTGGGATCATCGTATGCAACAACTTCCCTTTATAACATACATAAGATTTATCATTACTACTATTATTCAAATTTGCCAGGTACAATCATACAACTGAGATGGAATGATTTTCTAATGAAACTGTTATGAAATATATCTTGCAGTAACTGGTAAAGCTTTGTATAGAAAACTTGCCTCTGTTTGATGAAGGTTATCACAAAATAATGAACTAGTGAGAAATGACTTTGCATAAGTTATCTCTTTCCTCCCATGGCCTATCAGGATGTCCAGCTATACAAGAAGTATAGTTCATGAAATTAAGGGAAGAATGGTGTAAACTCTTAAGAATACTTGGAAAGAAAATAAAAAGCATTCACTTTAACGAAAACCCTCTAAACTTCTTTGAAAAGGCTTAAATATATATTTATGTATTCATATCACAGAAATCATTCCATATGTAGTGACTAGGCTGAAAAAAGTAACTAGGAAGTAGATAAGCTTTAAATATCAATAGCATTTAAAATAAAATTAAATATTTGAGGTTTTTGACTCCCACCTAAACCCTCTATATTTTGTCTATTTATCAGTGATGAAGTCTTTCTGCACATTTATACGGTTACCTGTTTAAAAGGTATTTATTTGGTTGCTATGTGACAAGTAGGTTGTGTCTCTAATACAGTAATTTAGTATATTTAAGTGGTATAGGTCTTTCTGGTTGACACACAGTTAATTGGAGACCAACTTTCTCAGAGCAAGATCACAACAAATAACTATTTTGAATATTATCTATCATGGTTTCAACATGAATAATTATCTATGAAGTGTTTAGGCAAGCCCTTGCAAGGAGAGCAACAACCAGATAGACATTTTGACACTAATACATCCAAAAACCAGAGGACCGCTGTACAAATAAGGTTGTGGTTCAGTTTCAGCTGTATAAGCAACATGAGGAAAGCACACAGATTTCTCCCTACCCATGCTTCAGTCTATATGTACATGCCATGGGTCAATCTGATGCTTCTAACTTAGTCATCCCACACAGACTCTATGCTGCCAATTCACATCTAAGTTTGTTTATTCTCCTACTTACCAATTGACATTCTGAGGTCGAATAATAATCTTTCTGTATGCGCCAGAAAGTGAATAATCTCTGATCTTATGCCTCATGTTGTTGATATCAAGGTTGTCAGCTACAAGCATTTCCTTGTAGGCCTCACCAACTGCAAGAGGAAAAAAAAATATTTAATCAGAGTGTAGCACAGCTGACTGAAACAGTTTTCATAAAGCATTCTTTCCTTTGTAATTTTAAGTTTTCAGCACATATGGTTACATATGGGTTAAACATTAAACAAAAGTTTAAAATTAGGTTTTTCAAATCTTACTACCTACAATGTTTGCTTATAGAATCGGATTAGTAAAGGCAAGTAACCAAGAAAGAATCTTTTTTAGCAAATTAAAATTCCAGATGAAAACAAAACTTACAAAATACTTAAGTGGAAGGTGTGTGTAAGATGTCAGTGAAATGTCAACAAACTTCAGAAGACTAACCTCAGGTATATGGATTTTAAAGAGGGGGGGCAAAACTACCCCTTGTTCTATTTTTGAAAATGCAGAGACTGAAATGAGTCAAGGAACTTAGCTGATGGGTACCTGTAAGTAGCTCTGACACTGCCAAAAGAATGAGTAATTTTATTACAGTCTTGCATCCCTAAGTAAGGGTGTGAAGCATTCTACACTAAGCAAAGACATGGAAGGCAACAGACACATAAGAATATCCTGCAGCTAAAATGCTGTCCAATGCCACTAGTCCGCAGTGCAATTGTCAGCATTACTTCCATGCAATGGAGAAGTTTGAACAGGAACAAATTAGGCTTCCCATGGGAAAATTCCATTAAAAATACACTGAATACAAAAAACTTTCAGCTTTTCTTTCCAATCTTTTAGTTCAATGTGGTTCAGTGCCATACATTGTAAACAGATCTTTGCTTTCCAAATGTTTCAGAGATGGGCTATGAATGGGATCCAGCTCCAAGACTCGGTTCTGACAGCCAAAGAAAATCAAGATTGACCAGTCATTTAGGGACAGCAAAGCACAAGAACAGTTTACCCAAATATCAGAAGACTGGCTTGGTTAGGTACGGAATTTGTGACTAAGTTTGTATCTAAGAAAGAGATATACAGTAGGTGAAGGCTAGGACAGACTTCAAAGACGGGATATACAAGCACTGCCTAGGCACACAGGGGTGGCATTAGGAAAGGCAAAGCTCAGTGAGAGCCTTTTGTAATGAAATTATTACATCAGAGGATGAGTGGAGAGCCATGAATGTTGCTGGTCTTGCCTTTAGCAAGGCTTTCAACACGTTCTCACAGCATCCTTGTATCCAAGGTTAGAACATCACAGTAGGTGGACTGCTAGATGGGTAAAGAACTGGTCCCAAAGGACAGTCACTGCTGGTTTATGCTCCGCCTAGGAGTTTGTTACCAGTACAGTTCCTCAAGGAACTGGGACATGATATGTTAAATAACTTTGCAGCTCCTCCTCCATCAAGTTTGTGGACAAAACTAAACTGGGGGTACAGTTGATACACTCAAGGACAGGACTGCCTAGGTCCCTCTGATTGGTAAAGGCTAGAAGAACAGGCCAAGAGCAACCTCATGAAATTTGTTAAGTCTCGTACCTGGGAATGATTAACTTCTTGTAATGGCAAAGGCTACAGAGCAACTCTGCTGTCAGTTACTTGGGAATCCTGGGGGAAAGGAGACTTAACAGAGCAAGCTGGCTGCAACAAAAGCTACGCCAGTAACAATTACTGCCCCTTGCTGGGCACTCATTAGATTGCACTCAGAATAGGGTGTTCAGGTGCAGGCACCCCAGTCCAAAGGAGGCACTGATAAACTTGAATGAGTTTAAGGACGGCCACCCCATGGCAAGGGGTTGTAGCATACACCTTGTGAGGAGAGTCTGAGACAAATGGGCTTCTTTAGCTTAGAGAAGACATTAGAGACTATTTGTCCTTGGAAGTTTCACAGCTGACAGGACAAAGTTGGCCTTGCTTTGACCAAAAGTTTGGACCAGATGACCTCTCGAGTCTCCTTCCAACTGAAATGATTCTACAACTCTGTCCCTTAATAATAATATAGGGTTCCATGCAGATAATTATAGATTGCCAAACCTATTCCATTAAAAACAATTTAAATTCAATATACCTTATATACAACAGACGAGAGATGCATTATTTTTTTTAGCATTAATACTTATTAACATTTAATTAAGCCAGATCTGTGTTTTTGTTGTTTTTTTTTTTTCCTAACATCAAGCTTTTGGGTTATGTATTCTGTAAGTTCAACTTGTTTTGTAATTTAAAAAAATCAAGTGTGCATACTTTTTAAATAAACTTTTCACCAATTTTTCCCTTGTGCCAAGATAAATCATTTTGCCTCATTAGAAGTTTTCTGGAAAAACTATTTGCTAAAAAGAAATATGAAACGGATTCATGTTAAAGAAATTATAATGAACATTATTATCATAGTGGGAGAGGTTGACAGTAGCGTACCTACTACTAGTGCACAGCTCTGAAATAGCTACTTTTTAATGGTCAGGAAGGTTGCACAGATCTCATCTTCCTTTTAAGAGCAATCTTAAAGCAGATCTGCAGTTTCAGAGTCATTATGTAAGTCAATAGTTAGACTTACTTTTATGCTTTGGATAAATAACATCAAATCCAGGCAAGGGCATCACAACGTCATGGATGGTGTAGTTATGAACATCTTCTTCTTCAATGTGAACAGCTGTGGCTACAATCAGGACAGAAAAGTAAAGAGTTACCAGTATGGGTGCCTGTGACAGTTAACATTAGCCAAATTTAAAATGAGCCATTTGATTGAAACAACCCTACTTAGAGGGGGCTAACTACTCAGTTTTATCTCCACTGTAACAGACGACATTTCCAAGAAAAGAAATAATGGTCTTCAAGGCTGTGAGTTACAGCAGACTCACAGCCTGGTTTCCAAAGACTCTTAAAGCTGAATGAAATAAGGACTGCTAGATAAGCAGTCCCCTTACCACCTATCAGGCATATGTAAAGGAGAAATATCATGGACAATCTTACCACAACTAAATGCAAATCCAAGTGAAGAGAGTTTTGACTGAGTGCAGTCTCAGACTGCAGAGAAAGCAGATCTGTTTATGTGATAATGGATATTTGCACCTTGTTTTCCTATGAATTTGTACTACAAAGCATCACCAGCCTTTTGTTGTTGTTGTTTGATTTTACCTCCTTTAAGCGTGAGATCTCCCGGTACAGCTTTAAGCCCATATTCTTCTATTCTCTTGCTCACCATGTTATTCCAGACATAACTCTGGTAGCTATGAATATACATTAAACGATTGTTTCTTGGTATCTGGAGGTTAAACAAAATGAAAAATCAGAAATATGTATTTTTAGGTTTTTCTTTTACTCATAAGCCAAAAATGCACGTATTTGAAATGTTACCTTCTCCAGCAAAAGGACTAATAAAACAACTTTATATACAGACTTGTGTTTTTTATTTGTGATTTGGGAAAAAGGTATGTGAAGAAATAATGCTTTTATACATTTGAAATCCACTGTGAAAAGCACTGTGGTTAAATTAAAAATGGAATAAACTTTTTGGTTTTTTGTTTTTTTGTGTTCAACAGCTTAAACACATGGGGCTGTTAAAAAAACACACTGAATTCATCGTATTCAACGGTCTGAAATCTTAAGTAAACTTTGCAGATATTGAGACATAGCATTATTCTAATTGTGTTCTCCATAAACCAGCTCCTGTGCTGGTCCCAATAATTGCTAGTTATGAGCTACCTTCACCAAAGATTTCAACTTAATTACAGAACTTGAAAGTGATAGTGAATCCACCACCCATCCAAAGCTACTTCATTAACATATTATCAGTTTGATTTATACTTTATAAGCAACAGGAAGAAAGATCATACTGAATTTCTACAAAATCCTCAGTTCTGTATTATACACGGTTACTAAGTGTAGCTGTATTGCTTCCAATTTAAAGAGATCGTTGTATAAATTGGAGAGCTCATTATACACTGATTGCAGATGTCATACGTTACCATCAGCAGTACAAGCAGAAACGTAGGATAAAGATTTTACACTTAGAGCGAGAGATGCCTGATGAGAGTATTTCTAATTCATCGTGATACCATGAAAATAACGTTTATTAAATAGCCCACAGCACTTTTACACTCACTATGCCAAATGCAGAGATTATGTTCTTCATTCCATACTTTAAGAGTCCGCGTAGAAGCTGTCCTTCCACGCACCTTTTTACAGGTAGTTTCTTGAGGGCTGCTGCTGGATCTTTAGTCTTTGCCCATTCTTCTCTGCATTTTACTAAGTATCCCTTTTCAGCTAGAACAAGAATGCAGAATAAAAATGTTTTACCTACACGCCAAAAAAACATTCATTTCACCTTTTGTTAAAACAGTTGAGTAATTAACTCTTCACTCATGACAAATTACACAGGTTAACAGAATCACAGAATAGTTGAGGTTGGAACCTTACCTCCTGGTCGTGGTTTTAATATCAAATCCATTACTTCATTCCAATTGTTCTGTAGAATAGCTCTAAGATTCAAACGGGAAAGTTGATTAAGAACTTGCTAAATATATTTTAAGATTGAGCAAGCTTATTTGAAATAAGAAGTATTGTTTGTGTTTATGCAATATTAGAAGTAGTGGCATTATGCAAGGTACCTGCTGAAGCTAGTTCAGAAACAAGGCCTTCCTTGAATCTAAAATTAAAACTGGTACATGCAATAGGGCAGAAAAACCTTCCCAGAAATACACTAGAAGTTTTATGGGGATTAAAGAAAATAAGAAGTGATGAAAACAACACGTACCTGCCAATTTGGTATGTAGGAACAGCTGTAGTTCCAAATCTTTGCATTCCATAGTAATTAATGAATCCAATTTCCCTGAGAGAGTTCATTGCTTGCTCTATCTGGTCATCAGTCCCTGTTATATTTCTAGCATTAAAAAATAAGAGTGTCATAGACAGATTATTAAGGGCTTACATGATTTCATAATCCCCATAATATTACAGCTCAACATTAGCGTTATGCAGTACTTAATAAATTGAATAGCCTTTTGCCAATTGTTTTTTTCTTCTTTCTTGTAACATAAGATACACTGACATCCCTTCCCTGTAGGGGGGAGGGGGGAATCTAACAGAACTGTCTAAATACACACTAACAATATTACCTGAGAACAACAGTGAAATGGTTCCCTTGCAGCTCTCCTAATTTCAGTGGGTGGTTCTTGTAACTGAAATTTCCTAATTTGAAGTTCATCAGGCATTTATTCAGATGAGCAAGTCTTTGTGCAGTGATTCTAAAGAGAAACAGACCAACAGTGACCACCTTATGCTTAGAAAAACAGGTAAGTTAAATAAATATAGAAATGCCATCATTTTGAAACAAAAAAGCTGTCTAGTTAAAGAAGAGAGATTCTGTATAGAAGAGAACATTCTTAAGGCCTACTTATTCAAGAGAAAACATGTACTTTGACAAAGTGTTAAGGCTGTCTTTTCACATCTATGTTAGCACATGCATTCAAAAAAAAAAAAAAGCTTTTAATATTGAAGTACAGTGGTACCCCACACCACAAGCCTAACTCTGCTTTATTTGAGTAAAGACACCGTGAATGCACTCAGGTTAACTCTAAGACTGTGATATGTAACTAGCCACTGTGTAAGCTCAGTGGAAGTGAAGGAGTATGAAACTGTCACTGATTTCTGTCATTCTGGTTGCGAGGTCTTTCAGAAGTATGTTCTGTTCTTTGCCATCACAGAGCTTCTCCTTGACGCTTCTGCTACAACTGATACCAGGAGAGACAAGTTTATCAAACAGTATGGGCAGCACACTCAGCTCAGAGGGGGCTGGTAACAGGTAACCTCTCCTTCCCCATGACATCTGTCCCCAGTGATCTACAGCAGAGTTTGGTGCTGTGATGCTACTGAACGTGCACCAGAATGAGTAGGTTCCTCCCCGGGAAGCTGGCAATGCTTACAACACACCGAAGCTCTTGGACGCAATGTTAGATGTGACCGTGTTAAAAGTAAACAGAACAGCCCCTGAGATGGTTACACCACAAGTTCAGTGAATTGCCATCGATAGGTGAACTTGTTTTTAGTAACGATAATCTGGGCTCCTCACATCGTTCACAAATTAATTCCTTTAATATGCACGGATGTATGCACATGCAAACCACAGGAAGGAAAATTGTGAACAATTAAGTAGTGAATGCCCTCCTTTTAACAAGAACTTGATAAATTACTGGCTCTCAAACCTCAGAATTCCTCCACTTGAGGACTGTGGTTTTGAAAGAGCTGTAAATATCAGTACAGCAGAATATTCCAGCCAGCTAAACAGATATTGTAATACACGACTGTGAGGCATCCATCATCCTCTGTTACTAAAGTAGCACTAATTTCAAGTGCCTAGGAACCATGTAATTATCTTGAAGTATGCCAAAATAAGTTTTATTATGGGAGTAGGTTAAGGCAAGAAAAATTCCTTGTCTTTTCTTCCCCTCCTGGCTACTCACAGATGAGCAAAGGCAGTGGTTAAGCCTTCTCTGGAGCTGTTCAGAGTTCAGTGAGAAAGGAAATGGGATTCCAGCTGGAGGAAGGGGGAAACAAAAGTCAGGAAGGAAATGCGACGGGATTTTCACCGTGTCATTCTGCTTATCTGCTGTTGCACGAGGGCCCTGCAGTGCAAGAGCACACAGATAATTTGGCCCACTGCTTCAGCCAAACATTAGCTGCATTTACACATACCTAGCCTATGACTCAGAGCACCAGTGCCTGAAAATATTAGCAGTCTCCATGGTATAAAAAAAAAGATTATAGTTTATTCATTAACACATGCTCAAGCACGTAACAAGATCAGGACATGAATTTGCCGTTCATGTTATGTGCATAACGAGTCTTAGTTTTTTAGGGAGGTAGCCAAGCCATCGTGGTAGGAGTGCAAACACTCCAGGGTATCTTCACTTACCTAAGAACAGCAATTTCTTGAACTGTTATAGCCCTTTTATCTTTAGTTCCCATGTAGGAAAATATGTTTGGCTTCACTCTTAAAGGCAACAGTAAAAGATATAAAAACTGTTAAAGTAGCCACAAATTGAACACAATTTTCAGTATAATTACCCAAATTATTAATTTATCTTTTACGTGGAAAATACATCTATTTAAAATAGAACATACATTTATATAGGTAGACTTAAACTCTTCCCCAGAAGCAGACTGCAATTCGACACTCCTAAATATGTGTGACATTTCCTAAGGTCATCTGTAAGTAAATAAAAGTTAAACTTTCCTGTTTTAATTTTATGCAAAAAAGGTCCACAACTGTGCTTTCGAAATATGAGCTTTGAAATTCTTTTCTCTATATATCCACTCAGTTCACAAATAACAGCAGGTCCATTTCTTCCTTAAAATTTCAAATAGCATGTCTATTTGAATACCATGCATGCACATTATATAAAAATATGTGAAGTTAACTTAAAATTTGTTCCATTTCTTCCCTCAAAAAGGAAATTTCCTTTCCACTTTGTGTACCACAACCTGTGTTACCCAGGAAATACATCCCGTTATTCCAGCTATGGGCACCAGGTGGTAGCAGGATTGCCACTAGGTATGTATTTCCACCAAACTACATTCCTAATGTTCTCTTCCCAAATGCAAATATTAGTATTGTATTGCACTGGTTACAGTCTGAAGTGTAGATATTTATTTTTGAATAGGAACAGTGAAGGGCAGTGGAAAAGCAGGGAACGGATCACTGACTTGACCCCATTTGGAAATAATTCTTTGTCTGTAATTCATTGTGTTCACATTATGCCTTTCACAAATCTGGGTGTTGTTGCACTTTGTAGGGTAAAAGGACTTAAGGCTGTTTGTACTGGAGAAATTAATACGTGGAATGACAGTTTATCAATTAGTACTTAGCAACTAATTAGCATATCATCATAACAGTATCTGACACAGACTCATAACATACCTGCATAAAACACACACTTACTCACACACCTGAATAGAACTGGCTTTTAATTCATGTTATTTACATTGAGGCTAAGAGCTGCCTAGCCCTTGTCGGATGGGCCAATTTGAATTGTGTAGCCTTTTAAAATCACTTGGGATCACTTTGTACGTTTCCTTTTGAAACGTAGTTTCAAAGCTGGTCTTTTTTTTTTTTTTTTTTTTTTAAATGTCTAAAGATTAGGCAATAGTAAATAACTGCATTTCTCTTACCTAACGCTGAGGCTTAACATTTTCAGTGACATGAAGCATGCAGTGGGAAGACAGCGTGCTAGACAGGTTCACAGCAGCCTTACCTTAAAAATTTTGATAGGACGTTAATGGCATCCATAGTATCCTTGTTCTCCTTGTACAGTACAAAATGGCAGTAGCTTCCCCTAGATTTTGGCCAAGAGTGTTTTCTTGGATCTTTAAAAATAAAAAGGTTAACATTTTAGAAGTGTCACTTTTTTATTACAATGAACATGGTTGCCATTGCAGTTCCATTTAAAACAAATATGTAAAAGTCAATTTCTGATAACCTCCATCTGCTTTAAAAACAAATAAATACATACTGACAGCAAAAGCTGCAAAGCACATTGCAAAGTACCTTCTCTCCTTCCACTGGCTGTAAATTTCTGTTTGATCAATCCTGGCACCTAAAAAAGCTTGAATGAAATGGTGACAGCTCCTTTGTCATGGAACTACATAAAATTATCCCCTAGTCACTTAATTGCCATATTACCTGATTAAACTCCTCAAAAACATTATCATTATACTTACTTTTAGCTAGTACAGTAAAAGCCACTCCACTTTTCACCTGGTGCCTTCTCTAATTAATAGATTTGGACCATTGGAGCACTGTTTGTATGATGACTACAGTAATATTTATAGTACTAATATATTATTTATTTTTGTAGGATTTTTTTCTGTATGTAATGAGAAAACATGGATTGTATCTCTATAAAAGCTTTAAAAAGTTTATTTTTAAAAGATTAAGGTGAATAAGGAATTGGATTCAAAAGTCCTTGTGGGTTCCTTCCTACTCAGGATATTCTATGGATATTTTTTAAGTCATATGAGAGAGAAAAATCTGGCACGCTTACAACGTTAACAAGTAATTCAAGTCAGATACTGTGCCATGTCTAGAGACTACCAGAGGGAGAGAACTTCAGCTCCTGCAGACTATCAGCTGATTTACAGTTCTGTACAATTATTTGGAGATTGCTGGAGAGGGAAGCAAAACCGTCGATATATTTGTGGAGCTTCTGCTACACACAGGAGCTTACAGGGATAAAGCTCTCCTCCGACCATCATCCACTGCTGAAGACATTACTGGGAATGAAGGTTCATTCTACAGGCTTTAGCAGCCTATTTGGAGGTGCTTTGTTCATTAATTATTTATTTTACAAGAACAAAATTAAGGATTTGTTTTTAAATAAGAAGCACCTTATCTCTTGGTAGCCACCAAGCAGACATTCATTGTTTTGTACCAAAAGAGCTTTTCTTTACAAAAAATAAAAGCTATCTAAAAAAGCCAGTCCTATTCCAGTATATAAACATCAACACCAAAAGGAAGGTCTTGGAAAACACTGCTGGTTTTGTTCACATTTGTTTAATAAACCTCAGATATCCCATGCAGAGAGTGAATATGTTTAAGCTTCATTAAACTTTTTGCTAAAGGACAGCTCTTCTTGCCTTTTTTTTTTGAGAAAGTGCCATCCACAAACACTCCTGTCAAAACAATTTCTCATGCTACAGTTTGACATACTATATATGTAGTTTTTAATCACTAAAAAATAATTTCAATGATTGTCTTGTACCATTGCTTCCTAAGCAAAGTCCTCCCACAAAACCAGTATAAAGTTTCCTAGGATCTAAACTGAGTAGCATGATCAAAAATCTGTTAAGAGACCTCATGCTGCTACTGGTCTCTGTTCTGAGCCACCACTTTTCTTAAGCACACTCAATGAAATACTGCATTCAGTTTGAAGAACAAGATACCTTCATGAAGAACTCATTAATTAACAGAGAAGAGGGGGAAGCAGCAAGTGATTCACAAGGAAGGTCTTCTCCAGCTGAAACAGTTCTTCAAATTTAACTAATTCATCTTGCACACAGTTATTTTGACACCCTCCTAAAAGAGAGCCCTAATCAAGGCAAGACTAAAAGGACTCTGCACAATATACCCACAGGCTTCTCACCTCTGGGCATCACAGCCACATCCCTATCCCCAGCACTGAGTCCCGGAAAGCTGCAGCTATAATCCCACTATTTATCCACCCCTGGCTCAACACTTTGAAGTATTCATTTGGGTAGATGGACTGAAGGGGCAGCCTGCATTCCTTATTACTATTTTTTCAGAGTCTCATTATGTATTTCACAGGAAAATCATCTTTCCAAGATTTTTTTTCCAAACCTTTTGCTGCAACTGGAGGGCTAGAAGCTCTCTGTTAAGATTGGGACGTGTGATACATACTTTTAAATTTGTATACATCTGGAAAATGGGTTTTGAAATATAAGGCTGAAACGTAAAGTTTTAGCTTAGTGAAATCAAAGGAAAATTTACCATATTGTATGTAGATAGGTAAGTATGGTCAACCCCAATAATTCACTTCACTTATTACTGGCAGACTCTCTCTGCACCAAATGACTACTGCCTATACTGCACTAGTGAAAAAGAGACAGCACAAGCCTAATTCTTCACTGTTTCTGGGAACTGTAATCATTATTTGTGTGTAGGTTGGGGTTTTTGTTTTGTTGTGTTTGTTCTGTTTTAAATTATTGTTACTACTTTGGCCAGTCTCATCACAATTTAGGAGGTCGTAATGGTTGGCATTTCATTTTGTTAGCATGAAATGTCAACATCTCTTACCTGTTGCAGTTCTGACCTCTGTCCCAATGCATAGCGTAAAGAGCACAAAAGAGTAGCATTTAATTTTTAGACTGTCAAAGGGTTTTTAGAGGTGAACATGCAGGTTTATGGTTATGGGATCGTTTATGCTTTAGAGAGCATCCAACAGTTAGGTGGTGGATGACAGCAATTTAGACAGTTATGCAATGGAATCGTGCAGAGGCAAACAGTGAACATATGGAAAGCTTCAATCGGAGATGCAACAAACTTCATTTGTGGACAATGATGAAACAGCAATTAACTGACAATTTAGTAAGGCGGTATTTTAAGTATTTTGTGTGTGAACTTGGTATAAACAGACAGCAGCTTTTGATTTTAAGATTTTAGGAAACTATTTTTGGCAACCTTTTATAATATAACAAAAGTAATCAGGTATCTCAGCTAATTATTGAGTATTGCACACTTCTGAAACGTTCCTTGCCTGCGGAACCTGCTCAGGACTGAGATGTGTTAGTGGCTGTATAAGCATGAAGGACATATAATCCTGACTAATAGGAACTTGCACTCAAACCCTCCATTCATTAGCACTTACACACACCCACTGAAACTGTACACATCTCCACCACCTCACCCAGATGTTTGTAGCACTGTAACTTAAGAGTTCAGCTTTAGATGATGCTCCTCTGCATCATAAAATGCTGCTCCAGAAGACGTTCTAATCCTAGAGATACATCACTAAATTCTCTTTGGTGTATTCCAAACACTTCAATTTTTTTTATACAGTATTTGTTAAATCAGACTGGTCAGCTTAATAACATCCACTTGACTGTAACAATGGTTAAAGAATATGTGCAAGCAGAAGGGAAAGGTGGAGGTAAAACTGTTACAAACCAACAGAGAACAAAACTGGTTGAGGAGAATTTTGTGCTGGTAAGTATACATACTCCATGCATAAAGCATGCAAACATACAGAGTTTCTAAACGATTAAACAAGATATATAACACGTTATAACTTGTACCAATAAAACACAACATTCCCATACTTGCCTAAAAAAAAGCTTTAGAAGTAATAACTACATTGAATGTGGAGATGGTCTTCTTCCAAATTTTAAATTATCCTATTTCCTTCTATTTTCCTTTCTCCATCTCCTTTATCTTTAAAATGAAAAGGGCTAGCCTTACATACTATACCACTTGCAGTAGGTTGAAATGAAATTGGAATAAATCAGTTCAAACCAAACTTTAGAACCTTTAGTTAAGTGTGCAAAACATTCATTTAGACAATCCTCTCATCTTGCAGAAAGATCAAAGTAAAATTATAATACATGTAAATTAAAAAATTAAAACACATTAAAAGATGTAGAACATGTGAATTTATCCCCTGTAACCAAAACAAGATTTGGTAAGAGTGTATATGACACTGCATTTTGAAAATCTTTCATTACTGTAATTATTCCAAAATAGTAACCACAACATAATCAGTATGGACACACAGCTACTTCTGCTTTCAAAACTAATGACTGAAACTATCTTAAAGACCACCATAAATATATTATGCTTATATAAAACTATAAGCAAACAAATAGGTCCTATCTCAATTCAAGTCATGGAGAATTTTATCATGATTTTTCAAGACAGTCAAGATACGCAGAGTGCGTTTCAACTACAAACACAGTGCATGCTTGCAGATCCAGGCAAGTCCATGAAAGCTACGTTCAAACAATACATATAATAAAGCCCCTGTTTTGCCTGTTCCCCTTGTAATACCAAAAGGTCCTCTCACTTCTACCATAAATATATTTAAGGATTTGGAAAGAAAATCGAGTAAAAATTTAAATGTGAGATACCACTTGTATTGCTAGTTACTTTAGATGCATGACATCAGCACAGACAAAAAGAAAAAGGCCAGGCTACAGTTTAGGTTGTACACTCCATGTGAAGTGCTTTCTAATGTTTTTTTGTTTTGTTTTGTTTTTTTCCTCTTCAGGTTAGTTTTAGCATATACTTCACCCAATTGCTGCAATACTGAAACTCACTTGCCAGTGCTTTTTTCCCAGCAGCATGATAGGCAATGATGTATTTTTTTCCATCTCGATCTTCTGTTTTAGTCTCCAGTCCAGGAAACAAGGACTTAACAGCTTGATGGATGACGGTTCTTTTCTCTTTACTGTCTTCAATTACCTGTGGTAAAACATATGCATACACAAACCAAATAAAATAACACAAAAGGAGAAGGACTCTCTGAGAGTTGAATTTTTGTGTGCTTAAAGAAAGCCTACTCAATCACACTAAACTGAATAGATACACTTTAAAAGTCTGGCCTATTCATTAGCTTGAAAAACAGTTAGTAACTGATACAAAGTCTCAGTATTCAAAACCAAAACTTTTCAAGACTAATTCCCCTCTTTTGTGCTTAATAAAACTCCTTCTTCTAATGAACTCTGGCAAAACCAAGTTTTTCTACATGTATTAAAGGAAAAAAAATCACTAGTTAAGCTTCACGGGATTGCTTATTTAAAATTGCCAGACCTAATCTTACTCATTTCTCTAACTGAAATGTAGTTCAACAGTTGTTCTTCAAATATATCAAATATTTGACCTTTAAAAAATACGAAGCTTTTGTTTTGAATACTTTTAACTTTTTTTGTGACAGAAGACCATATTTATCCCTGGAAATAGTCTTTTTATCAGGATGGATTTTATTTAACCTTCCTCACATAGATACCCTATAAAACACTTCTAGACAGAGAACCAAAATATTGCAAGAAAATTTTAACACCACAGAAATTAAGACATGCATTTGAGGTCACGTGCACAGTCCCATTGAAATCTTAACTACTCATGCGCATGAATTTGAGTGTATCTAAACAGAATTTACAGAATTGCACCTAAATTAGCAACAGTTCAAGTATTACCTGCTGCTACATCATGTTCAAGCTGCTCTTATGCCACGCATGCATTAGAAAGCACACACCTTCCAGTCACTCACTCTTATCCCCTCCCCCACAAATATTATCCCATTTATTAATTTTACCTCGATGGCAACACTAGTTTCTTTATTCTTAAGAAGCTGGAGCTCCTCTAAACGCTGCTTGTCTTCATCTGACAAAACTGTAAATGTTTCTTCCGATGGGTCCTGACATGCATTTGGGGGGGGGGGGGGGAGGGAGAGAAAAAACAAACATCCAGTAATCCATGTAAAACAGTTTTCAGTCTCTTAATGTTCTTGCTTAACGAGTTTAGCCATTACCTTTACCTCAGAATTTACCTCATCATCCACTGGGACAGAAAAGTCATCTAAATGGCTCACACGTCCATCTTTGCCTATTTCATGAACAACAAAGTCCGAGTATCTGATGGGAAGAAGCATGCATTAAAGCTGTAAATTAAAAAATAAAAACATCCCACATCACGAAGTCCTCTCCTAAGAAACTATTCACTCACAGAATTCATTCAAGGGAGTGCAAAAGAAACTTCAGCCATGGGAATGCTGTACCTATTCCCACCCCTCAGAAAGATACCAAGAAAACATTGCAGAAAGTCTAGTGTATCTAAATCAAGTAGACTTCTTTGCAGATAAGCAAGCACCTGCTGTAGTTATTCAGTCATTTTCCCACTAATTTGGGGAGATCAGTAATTTATGTCCTTAATTGTCAGTAGTGACAATTAAGACTCTACAACATTACCACAAGTTGAACACAAATATACTGTCACTTCAAACAACCTGCAGGATAAAGTGCCTGTTAGTCATTCTCTAAGGAAAGCAAGACAAGCTCAGCTCTGTTACATATGCTCAGTTACAGAGAGCATCTTCCAACAAAAACTGTTCTGCACCCTCTGTGACAGCAACATAAAATTTCACTGTGACATTTTGGATCGAGTTGCTACACTCAGTAATAAAAACATACTAACATTAAGAGAGTAGAAACAGTCTCTGTTGCAATTGATAAATTATTTTTAAGTAGCAACTGCTTGTAAAGAGGGGGAAAAAAAAAGTCCTCAGCTTATGAATGTACGAATGTTGAAAGATCAATAAAAAATTCCAGCATTGGAATGTTTCTATAGTGTCCCCCCTCAAGTCCTACATTTGCCATACTTTTGTGCAGCCATACATCTTACTGGTGGAATTCCTTCCTAAGGAAGAGTGTTTTATGTCCTCTCTTACTAACTGTAGCTGTCTAGACATGCTAGTGACGGTTACCATAAAAATGTTAGGATTAAATTAATTATAGGTGTTATAAACTGGGATCAAAGTCAAACTGTGAGTCTACAAACATTTCTAGCACACAGCTACATCTGGCCACCTCAGTTTGAAGACTGGCAAATTTCCCAGCAGGAGGTTCTGCACAGACTGTGTTCACCAGTGAAGGATTATGCTAGCTGTTTACTGCTGCACGTAAAGATTAAACATAAAACATGTACATATCGTTTTATTATATAATGTGTTCTATATACGAAGCTAGTATTTAAAAACAAGGACTTTTTGGTGTGTAAAACAAAACTGATTTGCTAAGGTAGGGCAACAATGATTTTTTGCTTTGGAGTTTTTGTATTTGCACTCTGAGAGTTTTATTCAAGTATGTTATTTAATTAAAAAATCCTAAAAGATTCATTAAAAAAATAAAAGCTACTATAAGCCAAACATCTTACGAAGTTTATAATGCAAGATTTCATACCCTGAGATATAAAATTCCCTTTTATGTTTTGTAAATGACACTATGGCTGATCGGAGTGTAACTTAAAAGTCTAGTGGACTACCTGCCAGTATACATGTACATGCTTAACTCCTACAGCACTAGAAAGTCAGGGAAAAGCAAGGAAGAGCTGGAGAGGGATGGCTTCAATACTGTTATCAGTGCCTCCTGAACCAGCACTGAAGAGCTGTACAGAAGGCAGCTGTATTGCACAAGGTTTTATGCTGCATGCTGCTGCCACAGATAAAGACAAATGGCAAAGCTTAGTGTAGTCATCAATTTCTATCCACACAGAGCTTCCCTCTCCAGAGTTCCATTTGACAGGAAAAAAAAACAAATAAAATAGAAAAACAACCAAGAAAAATGCCAAATTAAACCTTCCTTTCAATCTCAGCATTAGCAACAGAAAGCGATGAACCTCCCAAATGGCCGCACATAATCCAACTGCATCCTGTGAGTCAGAAAAGGAAAATGGAAAACAACAGCTGCTAACACAAGGAATTAACATATATAACAAGACAAAGAGTTACCTCTCTTTTAAGATTCCAGAAAACCCTTTATGAGAGCTAACAAATTTAGTTATGCCAACATCGCTTTCTGTCAGTCCATGCTTCATCATGTCTGCAAAGCTCTCTGGATCTCCATCTTCATCACTGTCCTCTAGTTCCTCATCTTCTTGCTCCTCACCTTCCTCATTGGGGATTATTTCATTTTTCGTGTCCTCAAGCAGAGATTTGTCAGGTTGTTCTTTTACAGTCTCAACGCTCTGCCCAGAGTTGTTCCCTGTCTGAGACTTCTCTGAGATCTTCTGTCTTTTAATTTCGTCTGCATTAGCCACATCATCCTCAGAATGAGGACGTTTCAAGGATACGCTATTCATTTCTACAGTTTCCATGTTTAAGGCACAGTGTAGGATAGAAAGCCCTGAGGAGCAAGAAGAATGGCTTATTTCCTGGCTGCTCAAGAGCAATATCAACACACAGTATCTTCACTCCAAGGACTGCACTCTGCAACAGTTTGGGAAAACCATAAAACTTTCTGCATTTAAGTTAAACATCAAATAGAGTTGTGTGGTTTGTTTTCTTTTTTACAGCTAGAAACAACATGTACTTTAGAAGAGAGAAGGGAGATATCAAAGGGACTTAATACCCACCTGAGGCAGCAAGGATATAAAGCTATAGAAGAGCAGGATTCGACGCCACACAATGCGTTTGCCACCACTGTCACTCTTGCAAACTCTTACACAGCTGCATTGAGCCCTGTCCATACAGACTCTGCTGCCAACAGTAATTTAGTGCCTAACAAACTTTCTGTTCTCAAGTCTTCTGTCAGACACTACTGTTCTCAGTTATTCCTTGTTCTACCAAGATTTGATCTTGCAAGGATTGAGAGAACATGGCTTGATTCCGCCTAAACCTGAAACCTCACCTTCTCCTTTTCTGTGTGCATCTCTTCTAACACACACAGTCCCACATGGAACTCAAGATGGCAGGAATTCAGACCAAAGGATAATAGGGAAGGGGTAATAAATTTTTTGAATGAGTGGGACAAATGAAACAACAAGCAAGTGAAATGATTGCTGAGAATATGACTACTCACACTGGTGGAGCAGAGATCTGACTCTTCACTAGCAACTTTAGCTGCCACCCTTCTGTCAGCAGAACCAGAACCTAGAGATCTGAAAAACAAAGGAAAAATATCTATTTGAGAAAGTTTGGGAAAAAACAACCAAACAAAAAAAATGATAAACCCCAAACCAAACAAAAATAACCATAACGTTGCAAGGATGCCCTTAACAGCCCTGTGCTCATCATGGTCACTTCCAGCTGGCTCCACAATGGAGAAAACCTACCACATGCCAAAACCCTACTCAAAAAAGGTGCACACGGTGCCTCTGCTCAGTCATGCCTGAAAAAGACAGGAGCTGCTGGTGGCAGCACGGGGGGCACAGAACGAGGTGTGTGAGGACATACTAAGAAAAACCTGTGGGGAGGAATGTGGAAGGGAACGCTGCTGGAGATGTGTGCTCCATGCCAGACCAAGGACACCTCTCAGGGGACCGTGGTCTCCCACTAGGGAGCAATGTCCATCTCTCTGTATTCCTCTAATGTTCGATTTAAATTTAAAGGGTATGTTTTTAAAGGAGGACTCATGACTAATCATCACACTGCTGAGTTGTTAACTAATTGTTATCAGTTTAGCTGTTAGCCACTACCTATTTAAATTACAACTTTCAGTTGTAAGGTCACAAAAGTTTAGGGTAAATAGGCAGGAAAGCCACTTTTAGGAACATCTGAAACGTTTTGCTCAAATGAAGGACTGACAACAGAAGCTAAAAAAAAAAAAAAAAAAAGGAATAAAAAGGAAGTATGTAGAGACTTATAAAAATGCACATGTGATACCTGAAAAAGGGTGACAAAGCAAAACAATCCACAAAGCAGTGTACTTCTAGCAGAAAGCATCACTTTCAGGTTGTCCTCAAAAATATATAAAAATATACATACATAAAATATATACATAAAATCCTTATTATAAAAATCATACCCAAGAGAAGCAATTCACCAGCATTTCTGGATACTCGTATCTTCCCAAATTCATGGGGTGCTGTCAATAAAGCACTGGCGAGGAAAAGGCTTCTAGATACCTTCTGAGTCTCCTTGCATGGTGAACGAATCCACATTGAGCACGCTGAAATCTTCTGGAACAGCTGCTGAAGGAGACAGCAAGACAAATCTCGTGTTTCTAAAGGAAATATGTAAATGCTGAGGTACTAAATGATGCAAATGGCTAAAAGAACTCAGTGTTGGCCGCGGAGGCTCTGAAGTTAGCGGGCACGGCCCGGTCACGCCTGGTGCCAAAATTGCGACCAGCACCAGGGCAGCCGCTGGCAGTGGCTGCGGTGTGGGGGCACGCAGCGCAGGGGGTTTCAGAAAAAAGGCATTTTATTTCCCTGACAGCTGCTGAGCTGCCTCAGCCCTCTGCCCCGCCAGCAGCTGCTCCTCCAGGCTCTGCAGCAATCCCAGCAGGGAGCTGGTCCTGGCATAGCCACCGACTTTCCTGCCGCACCAAGCGGGCGCTGGGGCTTTGCTCCTCCAGCAGGCAGGGCACGGGACCTGTCAGGGAGCAAAACGCGATGGCAGCAGGTCGCGGTACCGTTACCGATACTGATGGTGGTGATGAGCCGAGCTCGGCAGGCGGCCGGGAGCCGAGCCCGGCCCTACCCCAGCGGCGCCCCCGCGGGGTTTGGAGCCCGGGGAGCGGCTCCGGGAGCGTGGCGGCGGCGCCAGGCCCCGGAAGAGGCGGGCAGGGAGGGCCCGGGGCCCCGTTACGGTCCCGGTCCTTCCAGCCGCCTCCTGCCCAGGGCTGGGGCGGGCGGGACGGGGAGGGAAATGCTGCGGGCACGGGGAGGGCTCCGGGAGCTGGGGAATGGGGGTGCCGCTTACCCGCACGGCGGCTCGGGAGGACAGGCCAGGAGGAGGAGGAAGAGGAGGAGAAGGAGAAAGGGGAGGAAGAGGAGGAGGAGGAGGAGGAGGAGGAGGGCCCAGCTCGGCTCCACGCCGCGTGTACGGGGGCGGGCCCCGGCCGCAGCTCCCGGCTGCGCCTCTGCGGGCGGGCGGCGGCGGCTGCCTCAGGCGCCGGCCACGGGGAGAGCCGAGGAGTCAGAGGATTGCTGGGGCTGGAGAAGCTCCCCGAGATCACCTGGCCCAACCACCCCCTGCCACCAGTATGCCACCACTAACCCATGTCCCCAAGCACCACGTCCAACCTCTCCTTGAACACCCCCAGGGACGGTGACTCCACCACCTCCCTGGGCAACCCGTCCCAGTGCCTGACTGCTCTTTCTGAGCAGAAATGGCTCCTCATTGCCAGCCTGAACCTCCCCTGGCACAACTCGAGGCCATTCCCTCTGGTCCTGTCACCAGTTCCCTGTGAGAAGAGGCCGACCCCCAGCTCCCCACAGCTTCCTTTCAGGTAGCTGCAGAGAGCAATAAGGTCTGCCCTGAGCCTCCTCTGCTCCAGACCAAACACCCCCAGTGCCCTCAGCCGCTCCTCACAGGACTTGTGCTCCAGGCAGGGCATCCAGGGCTGCCTCCAGAGCAAAAGGAAGGAGCTGCTGTCACAGGGAGGTGTCATTAGCGGGATAATTAAAAGAGTCCCTGGCTGGGGCAGCCCAGCAAAGGCCATGCTGCCCAGGGCCAGCTGCTCTGCACACCCTTCCTTCACCTCTGGCCTGCTGAAGTTTTCCTTTGCAAGTACAAATACTTTGAAGCATCTAGGGGAAGCAGGCAAGAACGCACTATAAACTCCTCAAAAGAACAACAACAGTACAGAAAAGCATAATTTCCCCCAGTCAGCTAGAGTCAGTGGCAGGGAGTCACGCCTGTGAGGCAGTCAGTGGCCTTCCTGAACTCTCCTGCTGCGCAGCAGATTGTGCTAATTGAACATCAGTCCCCAGGCACAGACGTGTCTGAGCACCATTTCAAATCACGGCACCATTTTAAAACCAAATAAGAACCAAGTGGATCTGTACTACAAGTATCCTCTGACTCGGTCAGAATGTCAGCGTCCACCCTCCTTTCTGCTGTAAGCAGCAGTGCAAAGAACATCTTCATCATTAACTTGAATACATAGGATTTGTCTCTACTTTCAAGACCCTTTGTGGTATATCATAATCCTAGCCAACCTCATATTTCCTCTTTGTAAGGCTGTTAATGCCACTTTCTAGTTTCTTATACTTATTCTCTAGTCATACTCTGTTCATCACATGTACGTGTGATGAGACTTACAGCGCTGCATGTATATGAGTGATTTATTTTCTCATCCCTGGAACTTACTTTCTTACTCTGCTCCAAGAGGGGAGACAATAAAGTGGAGTACTTTGGTTTGCATTTTAAAAATCCAAATTTTTTAATTTTTTGAATTTTAAAAATTAAAAAAAAAAAATGCACGTATACATGCATTGCTGTGTGGCTAGCTTACAAAAGACCATATTAAAGAAACACATGTTGCACTTAGAAAGGAAGGAGCAAAGATCTGTGGCTATCCTTGGGAGGGAGACGGATCCACAGAGCTTTCTTTTGCCAGGTTGATTTGGTCTAGAGGATCAAAGCTGTGTCTTTATTACTGGCCCTCAGTGTATTTCCTGACCACCCTTCTCACTTGGACATTAAATATCCTACTAGAAACCAGTAGAGGGAGATGGGGTTTGTGTGCTCCTGCAGACAGGTCAGTGGTGGACTGGACACAGTGATAGACATGGCAGAGTACAGCATTGCTGAGGAATCCAGAGCTGTGACTACTGTTGTTCAATTCCCAGGCTGCCTTCACAGTAGGGGAAATGTAAAAAAGAGCCATGTGTTGTTTGAACATTGCTGTCATCTCACCAATTACTGTAGCTTCTGTACATAGGTGTTGAAAGGTTGCCCCTTGCTCCTCCCCAGGCAGAGACATGATATTATCTGGCTGAAAATATCTGCAGGGGTGATCCTTCAGCAAGACTTCTTCCATGTATCAGTCCAACTTTCTTCTCACATAGCTTCTTGCTTCCTTCATCTTGTGCAAGAGAAGTTCCCTAAAACTCTTATTTTTCCTCCTCCAGATTCCTACATTAAGCACCTCTCTGTCTACAAAATCCTTGTCAGTAATTAAGTAGATTGTATGTTACAACCTCTGCTTGGTATGGTAATTACCCTACTGTTAGTTCTCCCTGTTGACTGTGTTCGTGTACCATCCATTACCATCACCTTGGATTGAATAGAATTTGGAGTGACGTGAAGTGTTTCACACAGTGAAGAACCAGAATTTTGAAGGACCTGCAGGTGCCACCACAAGGTAAATAGCTAATAATATCATCACTATGCATTTCTCAAGTTTTCTAATACATTCAGCAAAGTTCATTACTCCTTTCTCAAGAACAGTAGCAATCTCCAACATATCAAAGAACTATATGTCTGTGTTTGATAATCTACAGACAAAATCCTTGAGACTGGCCTTCCTACAGCTCAGGGGCAGGAAGGAGGGAATATCTAGTTCTGTTTCTGAAATAAAATGGAGCCATCCTGACAAGCAGAGAGCATCAGACCTTAAAAATTGTATACCCAGTCATGTTCTGCTGTGATCTGCCCCCAGCGTGGTTTCTATGTGCAGGCTGGCAAAGGGCATCTATGTAGTCATCACCACTTTCTCTTTCCCTTAGTCAAATGCCCTTTTTTACATACAAAACTGTAAGAAAATAATGATATGACTGCAGCTTCAGCTTGATTTTTTCCCCTGGTTGGTTTAACAACTATTCAGTTATGAATGGTTTTAATATACCAGTCAGGTGGTATTATGAAAATAATATTTTAATCTAAATTAAAATGTGAATATTGTTATGTTTCCATAGAAACTTAAATAATGCAACCTAAAGGAAGTTTGTTTCATTGAAAAACATAATGACCAACAATAGTTATGGCCTGTAATAAGTTCAAGTTTATAATGGCTCCCTATGCTCAGGCTCCCCAGGAGGGGATATCAGGATAGCACGTATCGGCAGGTGGGAGCATAACTCTGGCTAGGAGGAGAACACAAGCAAAAAGCATATTGAGTCAATCTCCTACAGGCATGCTCCTTGAAAACCCAAAGGTACAAAGTTGAGCCGTTCCCAATCCATTGGAAAAAAAACTAATAAAAGAGAGCATCAATAACTGCGCTCACTCTTCAGTTTTAAGTTTCCCAAGGGCACAGACAATCAGGCTGATAAGTTGTAATTTTACACTCTTTACACTTAACTGGTCTGATTTTTACCTATGTCACTAATAGCACCACAGAGAATTAAAACGAAAGAAATTCTAAAAGCCTAATGTATTTTTCATATGTAGGTTGTTTGCATTGCTAATGCTTATTTTGAAGCCGTGCATGAAGAAAAAAGTGGAGGTGATAATTCATTAGCATGCAAAATCTACAGTATTATGAGAAAAACTGTTTTGGGGGGGTGATAGAGAACTTAATGCTCAAGGTAAGCAATTTCAATCAGAAGTATGTTGAAAGTATCTTTGAAGTATGTTGAAAACAGTCCAAAAACAATCAAACAGATTTGCAAAATAAAGGCAATACTGTTTTTCAGAGTTTTTCCATTACTGAGGCTTAAATAGGTCATCACCTTTAAGTTGTACTTCCCCTCTTCCCTACCCCCATTCTGTTTTAAAAATGAAAAGCTGCTTATTTTTCATGTTCATCTCTCCAAATCCCTTGGTCAATTAGTCTGAAATAGGAGAGAGGTAGAAAAACATCTTTTCTAGAGATACTGTAGGAATTTTAGGCAGAGGTGATTTTTGATCAAGTTCCTCACTAAAAATGTAATTATTTAAAAAGAGCTGTAAACAAAATAATCAGGTACTGTGCTGTACAGGGGAGTTTTAAGTTCAGAATGTTTGTGACTGGAATATTAAGTAAAAACTTTCCATTGAATGTGGGGGGTAATCGTGAAATACATTTTCTTTTTGTACCTTTTGCTTTTCTGTCAGAAGTTCGGTTCAGTGATGGCCTAAAGCTTTGCAGCACTGCAGACAAAACAGGATGTCACTGCCCACAGATCAGATGTTTTTGACTGGCAGCGTTCAATTTTTGCAAAGACAACGAAGAGCAAGTGTTGCAGGTACTAGGAATATGAGCTGGGGGGATAATTATATATTTCTGCCCCCACCCATAATTATCTCAGGAGGCCTTTCTCCTCCAAGAGCTGAAAGGCTTTTTCTTTGTACCTGGGCTAGTGCTGCGTGGATGGGAAGAGGAGAACAGCCGAGACAGGGCACAGAGCCTGAAGCATTACCTGCCAGCAGGGCTGGCTGTTCCTGCTGCTCTCACAAGGGCCACAAAACAGCGAGGGAACTGAGCGGCGCTGGCTGGGATCATCTCCTGCAGCACAGCTGCTGCCTCACACTCAGGAGGAAAAGTAGAAGACTGCAAAGTGGAGCGAGAAAATGAGCTGTGCTGCTGAAGTGCTGCCCTGCTGGGTAGCAGAATGTGCTCTTTATGTGCCTGCCTGCCCTGTCTGTGCCTGCTGTCACACTTGGTTTTCCACGACATTTCTTTGATCACTGTTATTGGTGTGAAATTTTATATGCTATTAAGCTACCAGCAAAACGCCCGTTGTCCTTTGCACAACTGGATCTGGCCACTAAAAACGTTCTCTGAATCACAGCACTGATGTCAAAGGTTGACAGATGTGAAATTAAAATAGATTATGGCAATACCTGTGGTATGATTTTAATCATGAACTGTGAATTACTTTAAAATCTCATTCCCCATCATCCATATAGAAAATCACGATACCTGCATTGGACTAACTTCTGGGCTGTAGTGACATCATAGCATCCCTTGCCTAATTCTTCCCAGAGTTTGCAGACAATAAGATCCAGAACAGAGGCAATCCTTCACCCTTGTATCACCCTCCTCTTCCCTGCTATCTGGAGATCCTGTTGATCCTTCTTTCTCTTGCGGATTTGTCCAAACTGATTAGCACTGGCAAAAGCAATCCTTGTGTCCTCCTGGCTGCTTGCCAGAAGGAGCACAGCTGGCTTCCCTCCACTGCCCAGAAGGGGTACAGTCAGCACTCATGATTTCGGATATGGCAATAAGAACGTATTCCACCACAGTGCCATTTCCCAGCAGCTTGGTTAGCTGGGCATTCACTGGGGCAGCACATCACCACTGTGAGTGTGCAAATAAGCTCTCCTGTGCAGCTGAGGATGGGGACCAGAAGCCTGAAAATAGCCCAGCAAAGTGTGCCTGTTGTATGGAATGAGAGGTACTTGCCAATTTTTAATCACTGAGCTTAGTGACTGGCATGACAACATTTTTCTGATGGGGAAATTATTTACAGACAGTTGGAAGGTCAGGAGGCTGGCTGGAACAGTGGCAAAATTCAAGTAAGCCTTTCAGTGAACCAGGTCTCTCAGGTACCTGCCTGAGGGCCCATTGGGAACATGCAGTATATCCTAGGTGCAGAAGCCACCTTTCTGTATGTTTCAACCTAAAAAAGTACCCTATAATTATGAAGGGCAATGGTAGGAAGGATTCTGCTTTGAGTCTAAGCTGGGCTGTGGGACACGGAGCAAGCCATATCGTGGCCTGTTACAGTGGTTTGCTTGATTTTATTTATTTATTTATTTATCAGACACTTGCCAATATTGCTATTAAAAGTAGCAAAAAAAAAAAAAAAGAAAAGAAAAAAAAAAAAAAAAATCTGACAAATCCCTAAGCAATAAATTAGAATATTAGTTTAGTATTTCTGCTGCCAGATAGTCACGCAGTCCCTGGAGTTACTGCACAAGGTTTAAAGTGTCGAGAGAGGAAGAGGAATTCCAAATATGTTTTTTTCATATTCGGATAACCTTTGAATCTAAGCTCTAATAAAGCTTTTCACCAAAATGAGATGTTAATTACTCAACACTTTCTTCAGACTCTTTTGTTAAACATTTAATTCTGCAGGAAGGCACCCAAAACTGCACTGTTTGTGCTACTCTGTTTCTGTGGAAACTCTGTGCTGGAGTGGAATAGGAAAAACAGGGGAGAAGAGGAGAATGGATAGTGCTTTTGGCTGAAGTCCTGTTGGCCAGTCCTGGCTTCAGCTGGGATAAGTCAGACAAGCAAGCCCTCAATGCTAAAGCCCAGCCAGTTCTCTTTCCTCCTCCCCCTAACTGGTGCTGAGGGAGGAGTCCTGCTCACAGGCACCATTCAAAAAGTGCTCACTAAAGCAATTTATGTGTGTTTTCCCCTGATTTTTGCCCACACTAAACAGATTGTATTTACAGATTTTTCAGGCAACAAGGATTTGAGTCGGTCAGTAACATTAGTCAGTAGCTACCTGCAGTGGTGGAGCAAGCTTTGCTCTGAAAAGAGCCTTCCATTGACAGACACGTTGCACAGTCTTCTAAAAAGCACCACTGTATCCTTGGAAAGACACTCTCCTCTTCCAAGACTGAAAAGACACTTTTTTTTTTTTCACTTTCATTCAGAGGCTTCCAAAATACGCATGTTTTTGATGAATTGCCAAGACAGACAGACAGCCCTGACTAATAAACTCAGCTCTTTATTTTCTCTTCCCTGATAGCTGCTTCACTGACAGTCATATTGCTTCCTCCTGGAGTAAGATGCCTTTCTTAAAGCTAATATGTGAATTAGTAAAATAATGTATTGTGAATTTTTTTCTGTTGTTACCATAATCAACACTTGCCTTCTACCTGTGGATGTAGGCCAGGGTAAAAAATATACCGTGATAAAGTTGTGATTGATAGCTTTATACTCTAGAAGCCGGTGGGAGGGAAGTCTATTTCTACTGCTTACACCCAGAAAATGACTGGCCTGTCCTTGCAGTCTGAGGCTCCAGGTTGGAGGGCCAGGGCATTTTGCTGTCTAGCCTCAGTGCATGCACGATGCCACAGAGGACCAAAAGGAAATGTGCAGCAAGCATTACATCCAATGTTCAGCAGAGACTTCTAAATTGCTGCAGAAAAAGAGGAGGGGAGAGAAAAAGTAGCTTGAAAGAATGGAGATTATGGAGGAAAAGCACCTAAGGAAATGGCATTATCTTTTCAAATTCAGGTATAAGTGTGACCTAAGAATTTCAACAGTTTCTTACAGGTCGAAGCTGAAGGGAAGAGCCAAAACCATAGTGATGTTAGCCATGCGTATTCATGCCTCTTTATGGAGTGAAGAACACCTGCTTCTTGCTCTGATGCTGCTTCAGCCTCTTGGGAAGACAATGAAATATCTTCAAGCCTTTCTGTAATCTGTTTGGTGCACTGAGTTGGCAGCCACATGTAGAGAAAGCTAACCAGAACAATTCAGGGAACCCTGCAGCCCTTCCCCATTGTATGCCTGTAGCGTGTTGTGCTATGCATGGAAGCAGGAAGGGAAAAGAGAGAAAAGCAGAAAAGCAGAGAGCTGATACCAGGCACTGATGCTGCCTTCGTTCTTTTGTGTATTAATGTTTTCAGGAACTACAGCTGAGTTGCAGTTGAACCTAACTTTTAAGGTTTGTTTGGTTTGTAAGCTGCTCTACATTTTTAGAAGTGCTTCTTGTTTCCAGTTGGCAGGCCTGGCTGCACTCATCTGTAGGTTATTCAGGCTTTGAGGTTGACAGCTTAAGAAATATCTATTTGTTGAAGGGCTTATTGCTGCTCACCCATTTGAAATGAATAGGAAGTGCAGGCCACACAAAGACATTATTGATACTGACAGAACATGTGAGAAACACAATGCACTGAAACAACACTCTATTAACCCAAGTTACCTAGCGCAGAAAATGATCACATTTATATCAATATATGCTTTAGGAGACAAATTAGCCTTTTATTCACTGTAATCCATAAAATTCATCAGGCACAAAACAGAAGGCATTAATCAGCAGCTATTTGGCTCTACACTCCTCCCTACAATAGGGTCTGGAACTGCCCTTCACAAATTGAGAAAATGTGAAAAAAATCTCTCCAACACTGCATGCAAGTCCCGTTCTTTGACAATCACGATACCCATACTAAGTAAACAACCTCCACAGTAACACTGTGGCTCACCACTGAACTGTAAGATCACACAGGGGCCATAGTGGCCAGTTTCCACACAGTGACTTTCCTACTTCTGAAGACACACTCTTTCCTACTAGAGTAGACTAGTAGACACTCTTTCCTACTAGGGTAGACTGTTCTTCACATAGGTCCATTAAGTTTTGGAACCGTTGTTAGCCATCACTGGTCTGTATACAAAAGTTCTACTCATCTTCTTGCTCTTAGTTTTCCTACTACAGAAGCACAGTTGAGGGTAGAGCAGCAATTGGAACATGATTCTCTTGGACCAATGCATTACATCTCCAAGTAACACATTCGCTCTCACTCATAACTATATAGTCTAATAAACCACAAAGGTTTCTTCCTGTATCTTAAAGCCTCCTCCTACACAGCTGCTCAATCATATACTCACTTAGGATACAATCAGAAGAGGTCCCTCCAAAGGAAGATTCCATACGAAGTCTGTATTTCCATAAAATGCACTTACCGATGTATGGGCAACAGCTGCATCCTCTAGCAGCTTACAGTACTTGCCATTGATATGATACTGAGAAAAAACAAATACTCTACAACACACTGCAGGCAGATTTTTAGAAGCGTTCTGCCCTGGGGAGTTCAAGGAAAACTCAATCAGTTCCTGGTAGGTTAAGGGAACCAGCTCACAGTGCTGCACACAAGTTAAAAGAAATTAGGTGCTGGTGATAGGATTTCTCATAATTTTTACCAAAACTGCAGACATGACAAGGGCAAGCCACATGACTTGGGCTCCAGGATACCAACATGCTCAGAGACAGCCTTACTTTAAGAATACTTTATGTATTTAAAGAATACCCACAAAGACCTGTCATTATTTGACAGGCACATTGGCAACAATGTGAACAGAATTTAGACATTGGGAAGAGTGCAGGCCAACTAGTCTGAAAAAAAACTAACTGGGAAGAATTGAACAAGGTGCAAATGAGAAAGTATTACCTTACGTTTATTACCCTGTAATTTCTCTTGCATCACTCAATAAGGATCAAGGTTTAAGGCTCAATATTTTTTTAAAAATACTCCTATTTATAAGTCATGATATGATCATAAGCTGAAAAGAAATCTGATAACATTTGAACCAACTTCCTTCTGATTACTCAAACTTATCAAATTTGGAAACCAGAACTCCTGATGTGCAAAACCTTATTTTCTCAAGTTTGAAAAAGATACAGAAATCCCAGGGCGGTGTACAGATTACATGATCATGTATACCAGCTTCTTCTAATTCTAAATATTCATTCACATGCAACGGGTACATTTTTAAGAAAAGACTTAGAAACCCCTGTCTGAAGTTCCATTTTGAAATGATTTGGCAATTAAGGTACAGACAGGTTCCATTCAAAAGGGCTAAGCAAGTGCTGGCCTTATCAAACCACTGCTTTGTTTCATAAGTAGAAAAAATAATGAAAATTGCTTTTTGTTAAACCAATATCCCATGTCCCCAACATCTTCCTACTGTTATGTCACCAAAATATTCTCCCAGTCTTCCTTACCTCCTGCACTTCCTGCCAATACTCAGCTCTCTTCTATATTTCAGATGCCCCACCACAATCTCGCAATATTCCAAGCTCATTTGTACATCCTAGACACAATCTTT